ACAGGAAAAGAAGAACACCTGGGTATCTCTTCTCATTTCCAATGTTGTCACAACCCAATTGCTTCCTGAACGAGAGGTGACCGAGATTGTGCCGCATGCTTGCGCTTAGACTTCCTGCTCAGAGGGAGCTTTCAATGCTTCCCATGCTTCCCTGTCATGTTGGCCTTAGAAATATATTACATTTGGCGGTCAAGACAATGGTTCTGGGTTCGTACCCGCCGAGGGCATTTCTCATTCGCCATCCGCGCTTAAGAACATAACTAATGCGAAGATAGGCAGCGTGATCACGCCTGACTAGCTCACCGGTGTTGTATGCATGATGATCCCACTTCTATTTCGACTTCGAAGCCGTCTCTCGTCAAGACAGCCACGGCGACAAGCGTCCCTTGGGGAGGCGGATGATGGGGATGTGGCAAAGATGGCAAGAATACCCTCATGCCCTTGAGGAGGATGAGGTCAGAGACCCGAGTACGTCCTCTGATAGGCAACACCTACCCGATGCTGAGTACCAATCAAGAACGATGGGAGCTGACACCTGTCGGTGGCAACAGCTCCGACCGCGTGGACTGCTGAACAGCCATTCGGCTGATTCCAGGCGGGTAGCGGACCCCGGAGCGACGACGATAGCTCACGGAACACCAGCGTCGCCTCAATCGAATTGAAGTATCGCGGAAGTACACTTTGCGGAGTCAAAAGTTCTTTGCTTCGCTCGTCGAATGCATATCGTGGGTATCACTGGACCTGTTAATCCTTACTACTCACTTGTTGCCACCTCTCGCCCCTCTTCTGCTTGTCATGTGAGCAGGTCATTCGCGACTTCAGCCCCAATGGAGAAACAGAGATCTTCGCCACTTTGGTCGTTCGGGAGGAAATCGAGAATGATGAGTGACCACTCAGGAAATCTAGAACTACCTCTAAGAAGAAATGCGACGAAGATGTGGCCCGCACGATGCATCTACTCAGATATTCACCAGTACACGACCGTGTTGGCTTGATAGATCATCCGCTACTTACTGAGCTTGGCAGGAGACGAGGTCTCCGTTGAGGACAGATGGCAAACTTTGGTGATTCGTTTACTAGCCTGATTTCACACAGATGATCAAATTACCTTGCTGAAAGTGAATCCAACTTGGCCCCGGAACTGTGAGTTAAGGAATGGGCGAAGCGTATGTAGTGCAACGTAGTTGATCATAATCGGATGGGTACGGTTCTTTCAAACTAGGCTCGCACTATATTTACGAATATAGTCTGAACTACTATCGCTCCGAATGATTCCAGGCGCTCAACCTTACGATTGTGCTTGAGTATACGGCATTGATTCATCTAGTGAAAAATATAGTGATTCCGATGTCGGCTGCTTGAGTCCATTCGGAGATAATTCATCCACTCTTTGAGGGAGCTTGAAAGTAGAAGTGAGAAATGAGACACATCTTAGTGTTGAAACTGTTTATCAAGATTGAAACTGGAAGTTGGAAAAGGAAGAAAAAACAATAGATAGAGCAGCCAATTAGGCCACTTCCCGTAATCCTTAGCTATTGACGCGTCTATCATATTGCACCCATGACACTATGCCCACAAAGACCGACTAATTGAAGAAATAAGGCATGACACAACTGTAGTGTCGAATTTTTCTCATGGTTCCGTCATGATTATCATAGTATCTCTCTGTCAATTTCTCTTCCCTTGAGTGATTACCTACTGTTATTACTTTCGCCTATGCGATTACGTCAGCACGCCAAGCCGAGACACCAGATGTAAGCACGCTTGAGAATAAATTCAGAAATGAACTTCAACGGTTAGACCGAGTTTGAAAAGATTGATTCTTATTCTCGCATTATCTCGATAATTGACTAGCAGCGCTTCTACTGCACACCGATATTGTTATTATTACAGTTAGTTGTATATCAGCAAGCTCGCGTTACCTACCTAGGTAAGTAGTTTGAAGGCTGCCTCGTTACACATTAGCAGTTAATGACGGGCGGAGTTGCTGGTACGCTCATTGAACCTTCTCATCATTATGTCTTACGTTATGATAATCAGAGTCTGACCTTCCATAGATCAGCCAGGAACGCATCCCATTGCACGGGCAAGCACCACAACCCTTGTCTTCTATCTACAAGCTTGACGACGTGAGAGAAGGGAATGCCTCGAGTCCGTTATGTGGCAAAGCATTACGCGCATCAGCTATACAAGCGCCAGGGTTGTTGAGAAGAATCGTGACACCATAGCGTCTACCGGTACTTTCCTTGCCATATGGGGCTCTGTCGGTAAACCCAGGAACGGCGGCTCGGGGCCGCCTGCTCTACCTATTCTTACGGCACGGGACGGCACAGAAAATTTTCATCTGCATAGTACTTTTACGGCAAGTTTGTTTTCCGGTTCGAGAAGCAGGTGAATCACACCGTCCTCTGCAATACCGAGCCAGGGGTGCCTGTCAGGCACGGGTCAACGCGTGTTGGACATGCCGAGATGCTTCACCGAGATTCCTAGGGTGTATATCACCCCGTTCCCACGCTGGACCCGGGCCGGGAAGCTGCAGCGTTGTATGGTTATTTTCGGGGGGTTCTGCCCCTGCGAGCCAGACTTTCGACTGCACAGGCCCCCCCAGGCAACGGCGAGCCCACCGCAGAGGGATGCCAAGCAAACTGACACCTGCCATAACCAACCTCATGTAGCGTTCCATGACCTGAGGTGGAGCGGAACTCACGTTTTCACGTTCCCACAGACGTAGAGCCGAATGCAACGGGAGGTAGTCGGTCAGAGATAGTTCGGGGCTAGATTATGCGGTATTCGCCCGCAGCCCTGGCCACATCGATGCGGTCCCTATCTATCCAACTTAGCCGCGAAGTAGGCTGCGGGAAACACCCAAGGCTGTTTATCTAGGTCGGTAAAAGACGACGGATTCTTATTTCACGGTTTGGGGTCAACGTTACTCTTGCAGCAAGGAACCAGCAGATGCGTTTGTGGAGCTGAGCCAGAAATACAAGCATCGGTCCTCTTATCCACGTATGGATAAATTAACTGGCTTTACTACAGTAAGTTTTAGTAAGAAATAAGTTGAAATGCAATCTTGGGTGCTGCTTAATTGACTACATAGTTGTGATTGGTAGGCTTTAGATACCTTCACGTCATGAGCCCATTTTCACGAATTAGAATATCGAAAACTTGGGACTTGCTGAGCTTACTTCTAGTGCGTCATGTGAGTCAGAACCTTTGCTCAGCAAAAGTGAGGTTGTCGTATTGTGTATCCTAGGATAACTAATCCGCCAGGTTTCTTGAGGCATTACGGGTAAGCAATGAAGCTATTTCAAGTCGCATATATATTGTTGATAGTGATAGTAGTGCTTCAATACAATTTTACAGATACCGTGTACAGGCAATGCAGTAGCTATCTAATTAAGTGATATACATATTACAACGTGTCTACCTTGAGTAGTATGAGAGCAGACTTGGAAACTCATATAATATCAACACAGTCATTTGAGGATATACGTCAGCTGAGATCTAGATTCGATAAATATTGTGATAAACGGTATATTTATATATTTATATATATACAAGTATATCGATGACGAGGCTAAATATTGGACCTCGCTGATGAGACATATTGGCGCACCCTAATCGACTCTCCTAAATATTCAGAGCAAGACTTGCAAGCCGGAAAGTGGTCCGAATGGACCTTCGGTGCCCTAAATAGTGTAATAAATCTTTAGCCTATGATCAGAGTTGAATCCAAGTCCTGAATCTCACCACTTGTCATAACCAAAGTATCATATTTAAATATCGTAATCTTCTCTGACCACGATTCTTACGCTGTAAGATTCGAGCTACTCCTTGCCATTACATGAAGGCAGTATCGACTATACTGCCGGGTCTCACACATTACCCGCCGTCATTAATTCTGGTCATAGGTGGCGTCTACCATTGCAAAATTTAGCGGTGATAGCTCCTTACCATCTCTAAAAGAGACCTTCTGGTGTTAATTTGTCCGCGCTGCCCAAGATAGAGCGGGAGAATCTTGCAGTATTCCCATGATGTGAGTTAATCGTAGCTTAGACCCCCCAAAAGGCGGCTTCTAGTCCAAGATATGAGTATAAAGCTCTACCTTGAGTCATTTTCCAACCCTTCAACTTCGAGACAGGCAACTATGGGAATAAGGTGTGATCACTCTCCTATACTAACCTGTTCCTGACATAGGCTTCATTCCTAATGTAAAGGGAATGCATATGAACAGCCATACACCGAGCTTATATGCTGTGTCACGAGGCTACAAGACACCTACAAGACTGTAACAAAGAGACTCTTTCTGTACATAGCTTCAGCTTTGCCCGCAAGAAGGATAGAGGGACCCTTGCGCAACAATAGAAGTCAATAGCCGGTATACCAGGTCTTGGCATGCTGTTATATTTCACCATGGGCGTTACAAGCTCATATTCTAGCGATGAGTATAGTCAGAAATCCCTCCACATTCACAACTACCATTTCGCGATATAAACACCGATATCGAGTATACCAAGGCTAATCTGCTCCGTCCAGACAATCGGGTGAGTTGTGAGATTACATCATTGATTCTATATACGTTCTTATCGCAAGAACGGTGGTTTACGGCTTGCTGTTTTAACTACAAGCGCTTCGTTGACACCCAACTTCTGGATTATGACCTATATTCACTTTTCTTACGCTCGGCGACACTGTTACTAGCGCAGAGTATTTCAACTTATTATTATCTAATACATATATCTATATACCGACCTCTTTCTTTGGTTCCCCCAAATCTGCCATCCTAGCTCACTTCTCCTGCTAATTAAAAGTAGCTGGAGTCCATATTAAGACTATGGGGTAGGTTGTGGAGTGTAAGTAGGGGCTAACGACATTCTAAGTAGGTGGTTCATGTACACTATCAGCACATGATACTGGCGTCACGAGTTCAGGCAGTCTACCTTGAGACGAACAATGGTTTGGACTATTGAAACGCGTCCGCTCTCTGAAACTACAAAAACCATGAGGTCAAAATCCATGACATTCCAGTTTTGACCCTTGAGAGTGAAAGCTACAAAGTGTGCGTATACTCAAATAGAGACACGTACTATCAACACGCTGTCCATTAAATATGGAAAAAGTCTGATCGGGTATAGTTATTCGAAATACCCCAATAATCACGGGCGGGGTCCGAGTTAAGACAGCAGACCCAACTCGGCACTTGGGTTCTTTTCCTTCGAAACATAATCCTCGAAAGGAGAGAATAGAGAAAGGGATAGGCAATCTCGCAAAACTATCACTAAATCAAAATGGCACCCCCTTTTCGAAACGATCATGTTGGATCTCTATTGAGACCTAAAGAGCTCCTTGAGGCGCGGGCAAGTCTGAGCTCTCCGTCTCAGATGTACTCGCTTGAGATACCGGAGACTGCCAAAGTAGCTGAGCGAGAAGCCATCCGAAAGATCGTGCAACTCCAGTTAGAAAAAGGTATCTGGCCCATTACAGACGGAGAGTATGCGAGACACATTTATTATGGGGGATTCTTTGAGAAGCTGGGCGGTTTCGAGGCACGTCCGACGCTGCCGATCCCGGATGCGTTCCGCACTAATTTTCCCACGACGACGAGACTCGCCGAGATGGGCGCCAAAACCCGCGCCGCCGTTGTCTGCACGGGTAAGATCACGTATGAGAAGTCTCCTTATCTGTCCGAGTGGCTCTCACTACGTGAGAACCTACCCCAGGATTTGTGGAGCGCCGCCAAGATCACTGTTCCAGCTCCCTCATATCAGCATATCCAGCTGAAACCGGGGACGGCGTGGACGGCCGATTCAGGCTACACTTCGGACGAAGAATACTTCGATGATATAGCAAAATGCTATGCGGCGGAGCTGCAGACGTTGTACGATGCCGGCTTGCGCAATATTCAGGTCGATGATCCGCATCTCACGTACTTTGCGTCGTCCATGTTCCTCGAGGGCTGCAACAAAGACGGTACCAACACAGATGAGCTCCTAGATCTGTACACCCGCACGCACAATAAACTCCTTTCCAAGAAACCGAAGGACTTGCATATGGGAATGCATCTCTGTCGCGGTAATATGTCCGGTTCCGTGAATTGGGTGGAGGGCTCGTACGAGGTTATTGCGAAGAAATTGTTCAATGAGACAGACTATGAGACGTATTACCTTGAGTTCGACGATGTTGAGCGTGCTGGCGGCTTTGAACCTTTGAGGTTTTTGCCCCGGGGTAAGAATGTCGTTTTGGGTCTCGTCTCAACTAAGAAGGCTGAGCTTGAAGATCTGCGGGATATCAAAGAGAAGATCCAGATGGCTGCTAAAGTTATTGCTGATGCTCAGGGAGTTGCGGTATCTGAGGCTTTAGATTGCCTTGCTGTCAGCCCGCAATGTGGGTTCAGTAGCAGTAGTTTGGCTGGGGGGAAGAATATGACTGAGGAAAGAATGTGGGAAAAGCTCGAGCTTGTCAAGAAAGTCGCCGATGAAGTATGGGGTTGAAGCTGCTGTTCGCGGCGTCATTCTTGTCATTTGACTTGACGTGATTGTCGCATTAAGTCAATACATTCTCTACAATTAGACAAATGATTTCTTTTCGATACAGCATACAGCTGAACACTCGACTCATTTTCTTTATACCCAGAATATAGCAGAATCCCGAGGACTGCGCGCAGTAGCAAATGTTCATGACAATCTCTGTCCTGACTGAAACTGTCTTCGCTCGGAACACACATAGTCAGGTAAGCCATTGATTGGGGTATAGCAATTTGGGATTATTCATCGGCGTGCTGCGGGCCTGATCCTGAACGTGATTGAAATACTGGCGACGTTAGGTCAACTGTTGTGAGCATTAATGCAACCTCAACACGGCCACAGACATGATGTACCTGATAGTGGTTTCGATGAATCGATTGCTTGGGTTATCTGAACACGTAGTCAACTTGACGTGTCTTATGTTTACAAGATGTCGTCCCACCACTATCAACAAAATCAGCAACGAGTACCTAGGAGGCCACAATGTTCACGTCGCTGGCCCCGGCGGTACATTCTCGAGAGATGTTACGGAGGGTAGGCATCGAGAATGTCGTTGCAGTGAGCTCAGGATCAACGCTGTTGAGTTGGGAATATTTTCTACCCCCCAGAGCACGACGAAATATATTCGGATTCCTGCATACTCCAACATGCAGGTAGACTACACTAGTTATCAAAAAATCAGATTGAATTGAATGACCTCTGCCTCTCTTTTCTCTAGACATTTCACATTTAGAGTTGGGGGGTACTTGAGGCTGTTTACCTACTTGGGTAACTAGGTACTCAGACATCAACTTGGTTTCTATTTCAATACAAACAGGAATCATAGTTAACAGTTGCTAATTATTACCCATTCATTCAAAACTATGAATCCGTGACATCATGATGAGAGCATACTCACTTAGGGAAGGATCACATTACTCCAGACACCGACCAGCTAGAGAGTTAAGCGTGAAACAACGATGTATATAGTGCTCTCAGACACGGACCGACAAAACACGTGAGCTATGCCTTCTTGGATATCGTTAGCATCTGTGATAGAGGGCGGGGAGAAGAGAAGAGGATTACTTCTTCCTTCGTGCTTCGTAGTACTTAGGGGATACAGTGTTTATTCTGATTATGATACTGTCGCACTGGACGTCCAGAGCAAGTTAGCTGTGCAACTAGACGGGGAGGACCATTAAGAACAGCATCCGAGTGGTTTCTCATCATGCTAAACACAGACCAACCTCTTTTGGACGCCTAAAAACACTGTGCGCTAGTACTGTAGACCTGAAGGAGATCCGTCGACCCGTCAACGCAACGAACCCGATCCCCTGCCGGGTTCCGAGCCCGGCCGCCGCTTATCTCTCCCCTCGCGCCCCTCTTTTGCATGATCCATGATTAGGTCTCGACGGTTGCTGACTGATGAGGCCGTTGCTGAGCTGAGTCTGGCTGAGGTGTTGCTGAGTGAGAGCCTAGAGGGCCAGATGATCCCAGATGATCATCCGGCAGCTTGGCCCTTGGAGACGAACAGGTGGCGAATGACAACAGTTCAGCAGAGTCCAGACTGGCGAGACTGGCTGAGATTTTGGAGATTGGGATGAGGCTGAAGAGATCGTCTCACAACTCGCCCACCTTGTTCCAATGAAGATTGCTTTGTTCTTTGTTTATTGTTGTTTGGTCTTTGTCTGACATCTCTTTGGCCGTCCCATCCATCCATCCATCCATCTCGCCTCAGAGACACAACATAACAGCTCACCACCTCACCTATTGTACTGTAGCAAACCCACACCAAAACCAACCCTTACCATATTATCGCGTAGTCTAGCAAACAAGCCCCCCTCCCCTGGGCTCTTGGTTGTCTCTTGGTTGATTGCTCAATTACTCGTGTCTCCTCTTTCATTTCGCTGCGTCGCCAACGCCGACCACAACACGCCAACCCTCTCTCCCAAAGAGCGGTCGGCCCCCCGTCAACCCTGTCTCGCCTGTCTCTCTCGGTCGGCCTGCAAGCCTATCGACATTATCTACACATCACTTTAAAGCTTTAAGGTCTATTAGGTTAGTTAGTGCACTAGCATCCCCGGCAAACCCCAGCATCCTCAACATCCGCCCGCATCCGCCATCATCCCCAGCAACCCGCGCCGCCCAAACAAGAAACCTTCATTTGCTTCCCCCTCTTTCTCTCCGCCTTCTTGCTACCACCACCGCTACTACCAGCGCTACCACCCGCCTCCTCTCGCCTCCTCTCACCTGCACGCACATCCACGCACATCCTAGCGCAGTCTAGGCGCCAGACCGAACCATCTCACCCATCTCACCCGTCTTCCCTCATTCCCTCACTCCTTATCACACGTCTAGCGTACGTAGGTAACCAACATACTTATGCCTCCTTATTAAATTCATGAAGCCGTCCACTTTTCATTCGCCTTTTTTGTGTTCCTAAGAGTCTCCTCTCCTGTCGTGCTCGTACCACCAAAATGATGTGCCTTAATTAGGTAACTCGTCATCTGTTCAACCTGGGGTACTTAAGGCATTAGTTCTTCCTTCATGATTGTGTCTGCGTGATTAACGCGTCAGCCACTGTTTGAGACGCAATCAATTGGCCAAGCAGCGAACGCTCTTCTTAATTCGCTGCCTCTTTCATGAATATTACATGTTACGTCTAAGCCATTTTATCTGACACTAGCCTCCAGTCCTCTACCAGCACCTCTGCCGGTTTCCTCGGACTGTCAGCAGAGCCCGTCTCATTGTTCCCTCCACAATCTAAAAGAAACTTACTCGTTGCTCCCGAGCTGGCTCTACAGAAACCTGCTCGCTATCTTGGCTTGAACCTTATTAAACTACAACCTTCTTTCCTGTGTTTACATCAAGCCTACCCGTGCTCAATGTATGTCGCCTAGTAATCCGGTGCGCTTGTCGCCGATTACAAAGCTGCCGGCCGCATCTTGGCTGGGTCGCCATTAAGACCTCCATAAAACCTAAATTCCCATTTCGGTAATTGGGTTCCTCCACACTGGAACGGCGATGGCATCCTTGCAGTCTATGTCCGGTTTCCCATCGCATGGCGCCAAATACAGGGTTGGCAAGTCCAAGGTCAAACCGGCGGTGAAGCCGATTCTTAAGAAATGGTCCCATTCTGAAAAGGAGAAAAAAAGTCTGGACCTGGATCGAGGTTGGGATGAACAGGGCGAGCAGTATCGGAGTAGTCAACAGGATTGGGGCAGGTCCTCGTCGCTCTCTTTCTACGAGCAGCCAGATGGTGTCGGTACGATTCCGTCGGGGACAGTCGGAGGAGTAGGATTGGGAGTGCTTGGGAATGGGGTGAGTGCGCGGCGGTACAACCATTCGAGATCTATCAGCAGCACAAGTCACGCTTCAGGTACAACGTCCAACAGTAGCAACGGCATTCCTGCTCCTCGCCAGGCCGGTGCCACGTTCGTACACCCCTTCCAGCAAACGCCGCGCACGTCAACCCCGCCGTTGCTGTCGTACGCGAACTCCCTCGCCTCAATAGCCGACACGCGTGACTATTCACCCACTACTATTACCGAAGACGAGGACAATGAGGATGGTATTGCTGGTAGTATAGAGCCCCGCAACCATTCACAACAATATAGGAGTACTAGTCACAACAATAGCGCCATTAACATTCACTGCTCAACCTTTGCGAGCTCAAATTTAGCTTCTCAGCCAGCCTTAAATTCACATCTCCCTTCACTGCAAAGTCAGCATACATCTTCCACCGATGTCTCTGATACGAATTCACCCAAGCCGCCTCTTCGAGTCAACACCTCGCGCACTTGCTCAAGTATTCCCACACATTCCTCTCGGTTAGCTAATGTATCCAGCCGCTCGGATCTTTACTTGGACCGTGGTGTAGATTTGGATTCACCTACATCAAACCCGCCACCAAACGCCATGACATCCCCTTCTACATCGATAACGCCCATTATGCGCACGTCCCTCGATGGTGGGTTTCCACGGCTGCGTGCCAAGTCGGATCTGGATACTGCTACACGGGCCGAACATCTCCGTGAGGCGCGTAGGAAATTTGAGATCAAAGAAAGGGCCAAGGACGAAAAATATGCACGGGAAGAGATCAAGCGTCGAGAAAAGGCCGACAATAAGCGTGCGCAAGAGCTTGAGAAGCAGTCGGCAGCACAACATAAGGAGCAATTAGCTGCGCGCGCGCGAGAAGAAGCTGCCGAACTAGAAGAAGCTCTTCAACGCGGAAAGCACAACAGAAAAGTCAGCATTGCGAGCAGCGGCCGTCCGAGTCTATCCATGCCTCGGCCGAGCTTGAACATCGGGCGGCCTAGTTTATCACGTCGAAACACGCCGAGTCGAATAAGCGAATCGGAGAAATTCATGAGTAGTAGCTACGACAGCACGGGGCCCCGCAGCCCACCCACATACGGCAGAGAAGCTAGAGCTGCTCATTCCATCCAATATACATCATCTTCCAAGCATAAAAGCAAGGCGAAGAAAAAAACACAGGGTGCATGGACGACATTTATACTATGGCTGAGAACGAAGCTGCTACGGATGAGTAGGAGCTGATGCAGCCTGGGCCATACTCTGATATGATTCCCCTCTGAAAAAAAAAGATCAAGGGAAAGAATCACCAACACAACACATACATGACGCACAACCATGTGCAATTACGACAAGCATTCACGACGCTATCACGACTTCACAGGACAATGGCGTTTTGGGTCATGAGCTTTTTTTTTTCTCCCGGGATTCTGAACATCTTTGGAGTTCTTATGGTATCACCCCTTTCGTTTGATAGAGAGAGAGAACGGGAAATGAGGCTTCCAGATTGGTTTGCCTTTGGTAGATATAGTTCTGTGTTCGTTTTTCCTGGAAAAGGGGAATTTTCTGGTCTATGGTGGCATACGCAACACCTGGACACTCTTACATTCGTACACTGCATACCTCATCACAGCGTTGATCGATCGACATCATTATCACCACATTAAGCGACAGTCTCTTTGGGGGGGAGCCCCATCCCGCACGCAGAGTTTAGCTCGCTATAGTTAAGCAGATGCTGCAGAAGGGCAAGGCATAACTGAAGCAAAAATTAAGTAAGGTGTTATAACATTTGTCTCTTTCTCGCTTTGTGACAAAGATGTGAAGATTATACTGCTTTTTGAAGTAGATACCGGGCAGATGTTTCTGTGTCAATATCGCAGCAGCACGGATCCACGGGTTGCCTACTGTTGGTAGTGTACTATGTAGAGCACGCCGTAATATACACAAATATCATGACGCAATAAATACCACAGCATGTAAGTACTACAAAGATAGATTAAAAAAAACCTCTAAGATTTATCATATAATCGTAGGTTCTGTCGTAGTACAGCCCATAGTAGTAAAAAGTATAGGTAGTGCACCTCAATTAGTTCTTTATAGTTTCACGTCGTCGTCATGCTTGTTTCAGCTCGTGGAGATCGGAAGGTGGGATTGGACAAGGTCCAGATTTGTGCAGAATGGCTAACGGATCGCCCGCCTCCATTTTTGGAGAGTACTTTAAGTACAATGCCAGAAGATGATGATGATGTGTTGCGGCAGCTAGCCGTTTCCGGGAGGACAGACCAGTTTTCCCCTTCTTTTGGCGGTATAGCGGGCTTTTTATTTTATTTTATTTTTCTTTAGCACAGAGAGAGAGAGAGAGAGAGGCCTCTCAGGGATGACAGAACAGAACTTACGTGTGCACCTGCATAGTATAATTACTGTATTTATTGTCATGAATGACTGGATGAATGAATTAACGGAACGAGAAATGATGTTATCGTAAACATATTCAGATAAGAGAGGATCTCGGAATCTCGGAACAAGTACCTAGATATGCATTTGTTTTACGTGTGTACTGGTTTATTGTCGTGTTTGCAAGTTCTTTTGCGCATCATGAAGTCATCATGCCTAAGTCCTTGGAATGTGGCTATTGGCTTGGTACTTCCTTGGTACCTAGGTAGGCAGGGAGGGAATACGGTAGGTAGCGGTACACACGGCACAATCAATGAGGACGTAATCGTTACAACTGTTTTTTGTTCAACTTTGGGACCTTGTAGGCTGTACACTTTTTTACTCGCTTTTGAGGATTACAATTACCTACTTACCCACAAGCAAACTCAATTTAAGGGAAACCTACAGGTTCAGAATGCGAAAGTAAGTACGGAGTAAGCAGACAGTTGTGCATGAAAGCGGTTACTGCAAGTCCCAAGCCCTTTACTTAAAGTGCCTAGGTACCTCCCTAAGGTATGGTCTTTTTGGCTGCTGTTTGGCTGGCTACCTAGACTGGGCAGTGAGGCTGTGCAGGTGTTTGACGCTCGGTACGGGACGGGCTGCAGCCAATAGCGTGGTCCTTGTCCCTGCAGCGGTTGTTTTGTAGTTTTGTAGTTTTGTCCTTTTTGTCCTTTTTTATTGCGTTTTACATTGCCACAATCCGCATTCCGTGACGAGAATTGTAGCGCGTGTCCGGGTACTTCGAATTCCCAGGCTGGTTTGATACCTACTGTATTTATTACTACCTAGGTACATACCTACATTGTCCAGATAGCCTGTAGCGGAAGCCTATAAGGGGGAAGTAGGGAGGTCGGTAGTGAGATATTGTAGTGGTATTGTAGCGTACTACAGGTACCTACTACTCCTACTTACAGTGGTGTGCTGTGACAGTGTAGCCGTACTGTAGGTAGGCTGCTGTAGTCTACTGTAATTCTTACATACGTCTGAATACGCAATTTCCACGGTGGTAGGCAGGTATCCACTCTAATGCATCCACCCTTCTGCGCTAGGCCTAGACGCCCATCCTGACCATTTCCTGTCTCTGATCTGCCTGTCTACGTCCAACCGTCCGCCAGCGTGACCCCATCTAGTCGCTCAGTTGCCCTTCCAAGCCTCCTAACCCTCACCTGAGTCGTTCATTCAATTTCATACGTAGTGTTAGTGTGCTTGGGACTTGCTGCTGAGGCTTCTCTTGCCATATTTCCCGGCTTCCGTCGCTCTCTTTTACATCAACAGCCACCAAACACACCAACGCGAACAACCACAGCACAACCCGATCCGCCAGGTGCCGGCTTCCCACCGCCAACCCGACTCCATACGAACTCGGTCGCTCGTTGATTCTTCGTCGATTCGCATGGTCAATTGAATCAATACAACCATCATCGACTACCCTCGTTTGGCCTTCACCACATCGCACCCATCTTCTCCGTAGTTACCTCGACTGACGATACCCCGACCGACCTGTCTCTTTGTGCTTTCCGAGTCGAAAGTGCCCGCTCGCTCGCTTGTTAGAATAGCGTTTATTGTACACTAAAGGAGTCAGCCGCCAGCATCATGGTGAGGCTACCGACGGCGTTACTAGCCGCGTGCGGTCTTCTCGCCGGTAGAGCCCTTGGTGCTCTCGATGTTGATCTCGATGACCCTGGTTCGTGCGCACTTCGGTTTCAATGATGGATTTTGAATCCCCCCCCCTCTGCGACGAGCTAACCACTCTACCTCATCCAGAATCTATAAAGAAAGCAGCCGCCCTCGTCGCTGAAGACCTCCTCAGTTTCTACCGCGGCGATGAACCCGGCTGGGTTCCAGGTATCTTGCCTGGCCCTCCCCCGGATGGCGACTATTACTGGTGGCAAGGTGGTGCTATGTGGGGAACGTTGTTGGATTATCGAAATGTGATGAAGGACGACACATATGATGATACTATTTTCACAGCGTTGCAATTCCAGGTCGGAGACGAGAAAGATTACAACCCAGCCAACTGGTCTGCTTCGATGGGTAACGATGATCAGGCCTTCTGGGCTTTTGCCGCTCTCATTGCTGCCGAAACAGGATTCAGAGATCCCGCCCCCGAACAGCCACAATGGTTGGCGCTAGCTCAGGCCGTCTTCAACGAGCAGACCAACATAGACAGACGTGTTGAAGGTGGAAACTGCGACTGGGGTCTACGTTGGCAGGTGTATAGAACCAACAATGGGTTTGACTACATCAATAGTACGCGCCCTCTCAACCAAATCTCCACCGCAGGATTTTGATACTGACTGTCCCTCAACAAACAGCTGTTGCTAATGCCTGTTACTTCAATATCGGTGCCCGACTTCACCGTTATACAGACAACTCCACCTATGGTGAACTTGCCGAGAAAACCTGGGACCTGATGTGGCGACTAGGTTACATCACCGAGGACTACGACGTTTACGATGGTGCTCATCTGCCTGATTGCAAGGGAATCAATAAGGCTCAGTTTTCTTACAATGCTGCCATGCTGTTGCAGGGAAGTGCATTTATGTATAATGCGGTATGTACACCTTTTCTCGGGTTCACTTTTCTGTGGCCGCAATTCAAAAAACTGCAGGGACTTGATTCCAAATACCAAGCCTTGCAGAAGACATGGAGGATCCTGCCTAGTCTCTATGTATGAAAAAGTGTAGCTGACATCATGTGACCAAAACAGACAGAGAGTGATGAGTGGAAGGAACGTGTAGAAGGCATGACTAAGGGTATAATTCGGGTCTTTTTCGCTAAAGATGGGATTGCCTACGAGCCTTCGTGTGAACCACCCCCGGGTTCCTGCAACGCTGATATGGAGTCTTATAGAGGTTATATGCACCGCTGGATGGCAAACACGATCCAGATGGCGCCTTTCCTAAGAGACACAATCCTACCTGTTCTCAAAACATCGGCTGCCGCCGGTGTGAAGCAATGTACAGGTGGAGATAATGGACGCATGTGTGGTTTCCACTGGACCACCGGTCAATATGATGGTCAGCTTAGTGCTAGTTTGGAGATGAACGTCCTCGGTGCCTTGACAGCATTAATGATGCCTGACGTCGCACCTCCGCTCACCAATACCACGGGTGGCACGTCCAAAGGTGATCCTGATGCTGGCCAAACGAAGACAGAACTGCCGACGTTTAGCCCCATCACAACTGGTGACAAGGCCGGCGCGAGCATTCTCACTATTCTCATTATCACGGGTGCTCTTTCAGCCTTTGCATGGATGAGTCTGGACTAAGCCCTTCAGACAGTTAATAAATAAACCATTTCGGCCAAATCAACCACATACGCCAACGCAACTCACTTTCATCCATGTCTCAGGGAAGAGAAGGGTTATTTAAGCCTGAGCTTTCTCGTATACTCTATCTTCAGCACTCAGCCACTTGACTTGGCCGAGGAAGAGAGAGACTTGGATGCGCTTGTGTACATGGTTATTTAAAGGTCTCATCTAAGCTGGCTACGACTGGGAAATAAGGAAACTATAGGAGCATATGGCGTTTTATGATGAGATTAAGACCTGCCTTTCACTATTGCTTGTACAACTACCAGTCAACCAGCATCATCACTCAAATTTCATAGACGCAGCTGGATACGAAAGGAAGTGTATAACAAGCATATACGTTAACTTGGACTTTTGGGAGGGTCTAGTGCTTGCTTTATTCTATTTCTTTTTTGCCTCTTAATTTCTGATTCAAAACTTTCTGAACGACATTTTGGAGCGGGTGATGCTCATCTATCTATGTGTATGTGCCTACTTGTGGTATATCATTGATGAGCGAAGTATGTATAGGTACCTGTCGGGTTTACAGACTGTTTTTGAGTATATAGGGTTGACTGTGAAGTGGGAGGTGTATATAGAAATCTTATATTTTAAAATGAAAATATGTGCGAGAATATTCGTGAGTGTGTATACGAAAGAGTTCGAGGAGCGGGTATACCATGCTTCCTCCATATTATTTTTTGAATGAGATGCAGATTCAGATTGGTAGTTTTATTTGCTTATGTAGAGTAGGGATGTGTTGGAGCTGCTCGTCTTCTGTTTATCGTTGTATCTTGTGGTAGAGCTCGTGGATCGGTATATCTAGGGTAGGGTTGACAGGCCAATTTTGCTGGATACGGTAGGGAGTATTTTATGAGAGTTAGTATGGCCTAAAGACGTGAGGCTGTAGATGGCATCGTGAGTCGTGTTGCGGATTGAGCGGGTTGATGTCGCTTGTCTTCATACTTAGAGCGTCTTGTAAACTTAGACTAGGTAGGTAGGCATTTGAGCGGGAAATGTTCTATCCCTACACTGGTAGGAGCGAGTATGACGAGATGCTCTCTGGCTTGGTTTGTAGTACTTGAGATAATTGTGGCTGGCATTGTATAGATACTGGCCTAAATATATGTGTACTTAAGGTACGTAGGTATGCATGTAGATATCGGAACCGTCAACGACTTCCTAGGAAGTCACCAAGCAACTGCTTCTCAGCCTTAGCATAACTAACTGTAAGGCTCTTAATATAAGCGGCACGGGATCTTGTCTGAATGACAGGGGTGTCCTAGCAGATACCTAAATAATGGAACTTGACAGCACTCTTCACGGAATGAGGTAAGTTCAAAATTCCATTATTTAGCTGCCTGCGATGAGGGATGTGTAAAGAGCAAGGGATAAATGCAGTTTGCCAATTTGCATAAGCAAGGGAGACATGAGCGCTCTTGTTTGAAATCCTCGCGTGTACAATGCGGCTGTAAGTTCTTGCAAAATGTATGTTTTGGCTCATCCCAGTATATTTGTCGTTCCGCAGGTATATCTGTTTATATGATATACCACTCAAAGGTCATGTAGTTCCTTTCAAAAAAGATTATTCTAGAAGGGGCCAATATTATATAATAACTACTGCAGTAGCAGACTTCTTGCGTCATGCCAGCAAGGCACCAGCTGAATTTGATAGGGAGCAGCTCAGGACAGTCACCTTCTGCGTGCGTGGACACTCAGTATAGGTTGAATGGCCTTGAAGTGAGTAGTGGTCCACTTGTAGGGATGATGGGCTTGGTGAATGACAACAAAGATATTCAAGGCGTACTGTTGGGCAACAAGGGTTGTTCACGCCCAGTTTGGCATGTTTGGGCCAAAAGCTTCTCAACTCAGCCTAAGGTCAATTTAGGGTTCTCATCAAGAAAAGGACTCTTTCAACCTAGTGCCTTATAGAACGTATATGTCAGTATAGAGATTGAGGAAGAAATTGTTTGGAAGTGCATATATAAGTCAGCGGCTCATTGAGCCTTCGTCACCATGCATTCACTTTCAGCATACTATGATCTGCACCATATATCTACGTCAACTGAATTTGTAATCTCCCGGCTAAGACTACGTTGCCCCTCGACGATATTCACCGATCCAGCTTCATTCTTTCCCTCTTCATGGATCAAGGCTTATGAGTGATTCCAGGACACAAGGCTAGATGTTCACCATGTCCCTTCGTCGGATCTTCTTGACGTACTTGAGCGTTTTTGAGAAATCTTGTCGGATGCGTAAGCTTATTAACGGGACGGGCAAGAGTAGTGACAAAGCTGAGAACCGATGACCTGTCAAACAACTTCTCGTGCGTTTGAAACATTGATTGATGATGTTGACGCGTTGAACTTCTGGACCTGAGTTATAGGTTTACTAATATGCTGGGTATCATTGTAGGTTATGAGGATGTTTGTAGTGGCCGTTGCGACATCTAACATGGTTATCTGGCCTCGATATCGCTCCAACATGTAGCTTGGGGATATCCGCGGGTGGTTGAATATGACAATCACGACGATATACTCCTAGCAGTGCGTAACCTTTTTCTCATAGCAAGCACGTGCCACCGCACATGGTGGCATTCGCAAACAGAAGCAGCCCCTCAAATATTTTGATCCTGCGCCTGAACGCCATTTTGCCAGCCAACTCTCTAGAGTGAGGTAGAGTATTCCCAGCTAACACTCATGCGTGAGTGTCGACGCGTCTAAATATCATGCCGCCGCTAACGCGTAAAAAGGGTAGCTCATTTATCGCGATCACCGCCGATCCTTTCAAGTGCTTCTAGCATGACGACCGAATTACCTCGAATGACCTATACAGTTCACATCAGCAACAGCTCTCACGAGTAAGAAACGAACATGGCACAGCACATACCACCATCCCTAACCGCTCCTTCTCACCACCTTCCTTCTCCTCGACAGCATCATCGAGAACGATGTTCAGGAAGACCTAGCTCAGTGGTCAGCCATTCAGCCCAGGGATGACCATTTCAAGCAGTGGTAGCGTACATCGTAACCGCGAAGCAGGCCGATAACTTTGCGGCTGCCGTTTAGCTGGACGAAGAGCCTCTTATCCAGGTACTGTGGAAGTATGCGTGAGTAGTTGAGCAGCCGTTTTCTAAGGATTTCGGTATAGCTCACCTTCTTGAGCTCTGGTTGCGCGGGAGCCATCTTGGCGACAGAAAGAGCCGATTTATACGAAGAGGTTAGGGGAAGGGCTGGAGGGCAGAAGTGTCGTAAGGCTGGTGATAGTAGAAATAGTGGAAGCTGTCTTGGCCGAATTGCCAAAGCCATGCAGCGCAAGTTGGTACCTTGACTGTACCTTGCAGCATGGGGATAAGATAAAGCCTTTATCGATAAGAATTTCCCCAGACCAAGCAAGCTATCTACCTAGGTAGCAGTCATACTCAGGTAGCAGCGCGACTGGGAAAGCGGCCTCTCCAGCTTCTCGACTGACATAGCAACTCTCAGCAAATACACAAAAAGCTCTTACGCGCATGCGATAACTATGAGTTCATTCGCATCCAAGAGAAAGGGGCGCAAGATCACAGTCCAGGACGACGAGGAGACCCCTTCAATCGAGTCTTTAAACCCCACACCCGAGCCTCAAGAGCCTGCACTCCAACCCACATTCAAGAGTCGCAAACCATTCAAGCAATCTTCACTACGGAAAAGCATTAACATCAACGACGAAGCTTCTAAAGAAGACACCAATACTTCAAATATCGCAGGCGAATCTGAAGACCAAGAAGATGGCGGCGCGCCAGTACGGACACAACCTTCAACTTCCAGACCAGGGCTCGCAAAGTCCAAAAAGCGGCAATCCAGCTCGAGGCTTTCTTTTGGGCCGAGTGAAACGGCAGCAGATGATGACGATTCCATGGTTCTAGGCGGAGAGGTATTCACGCCTAAAAAGCCCGGTCTCGCTGCGTCCGCAGCTGAGAACAGCGCATACAAAAAGGGCATATCGAAGAACTTGCCTCTCAACCGACTACCCATGCGATCAATGGAGGATGACGATGACCGGCCCAGATATAGCAAAGAATATCTCTCCGAGCTACAGTCTTCAACTCCTAATGCACCGCAAGATCTTTCCAAGCTACAGATAGTTGATGATGAGATGTCACTTGACCCTTCCGAACTGGAAGGCGCGATGATCGTCGAAGAAACTCCATCCACATCATTAACAACCAATCCTTCGACGACAGCAGCCCCAGCCGTGTTGACAGAAGCCGAGATCCGCGAGAAGAAGGAGAGGCGGTCACGTCTAGCGAAGCAGAAGGGAAATCGCGACACAGAAGATTTCATCTCACTGTCCGACGACGAAAACGACGAGCGGCGCGCAGGCGATTCTTACTTAACATTGTTATCGCGGAAGAGCAATACCAAATCAGATACGCGGCTCGTGGCTGAGGACGAGGATCTCGGCGAGGGCTTTGATGAGTTCGTAGAGGACGGTGGTTTATCACTAGGTAGAAAGGCAGAGCGCGAGGCGCGCAAGCGACATCATGCTGAGATGGCGTCGTTGATATCTGCCGCCGAAGGCGCGGGGTCAGATGGCGAGGCGGCCTCGGACGATTCTGAAGCTGAGCGCAGGGCAGCATTCGAAGCGGCGCAGACACGCGCCGGCATGGACGGGCTGGCCGAAGAACGTGCGCAGCAGCGAAAGAGATTAGGCGTACGCGAAGGCGTGGTCCCCGTGCCGCCTAAAATTACGCCTCTTCCAGATCTCAGCGTGCTCGCGGAGGAATTCCAAGCTCGCATGCGGCAGAAAGAAGCCGGCTTAATACGAATGCGCGCGCACATAGCCCAGATCAAAACCGAGCGCGAAGACGTACTGAAGAGGCAACCAGAAGTGCAGACATTACTTAATGAAGCCGGTGAACGATACCGTGCCCTCATGATGCCTGGTGCTGGACCTACTGAGAATGGTCAAGCCGACGGCGAAATGCAAGCAGGGAGCAATGGAATTGGAAATGGCGATAGCACTATTACGGCGGCGAGGACTTTGTTAGATCAATTCAGAGATGGTCCCGGAACCCCTGGGGAGAGGGGTCTAGAAAGTCTGGGTACAACACCCGTGAAGCAGACGCAGATGGAATGAATGAATTATGATACCCCTCTTGATGTACACATCTTGCTAGAATAGATGTAAAGCGTCATAACCAAGAATAAAATCACGGATAATTGTTAGAGACACCCATGCTTCTTTTGAATTCTTTTTCTATTTTGATATGAATAAAACGGAAATGATGCCCTGACCTGACCTGACCCGTATATGTACGGTACGGGTGAATGAGAGAAAGATTACCAGTGATGGATGCTGTAACCACCTCTCCTGTATCGGTACATAGTTGATACAAACAAATATTACTGCTATTCCGACCAAGCGCGTTTCTGTTACTTACTACACTAGCCCAGGCCGTCAAGGGCTGGCTATTTGCCTCGAAACTATCGTCCAGGACTGATATATATCTTCTGCGAAGGGCCTAGGGAGTTCTACTAACCCAGCGGTAGATAGATAGAGATATAATTCAAAATGTATTCGCTCCTCCTTCCTTTACTTGGACCTCGATACACCAGCGCCGATAACACCAGGTAGCTTCTCCTCGCCGACGCTGAACAGGAGACCGATGGAGAAGGCGATCGTGGCGACGAGGGCAATGGTAACGCCGGCGAAGAGCCAGAAGGGCGTGCTGATGTCGCGCTTTTGACACATGCCGCCGCCCCAGCGATACACGTGTTTCTTGCCCTTGGAATCCGTGTCCACCGTCGTCCCGCAGTGGCAGAAGAAGCACGTCTTGTCCGTGTCGTCCTTGCCCCAGCGGTTGACGCACTCGCCGTGGCCGAAGCACGAGTTCGTGGCGTTCTCGCAGGCGCTCTGGGACGTGAAGCAGTTGGGGACCGGCGTGGGACGGCCAGCGAGGGCGTTGAAAGTCTTGCCGTGTGTGCTCTCCACGAAGGACGCGTCCAGTCCGTCATTCTTCGTCTCCTTCTGGGATTGCAGCTGGCGACGGTGGAGGTTATCGTTGCTCGTGGTCGAGTCGGTGTCGAGGAAGACGAATGTCGTCTCCATCAGACCTGCGTTCGCGTGCTCTTTCAGCGCGTGTTGCTGATTAGAGAGCTTGCCAATGATTGTGCTGTCCTGAAATGAGAGTTAGAATCTATTCAGTGTGAGATCTTGGTGTTTGTCGCCATACCTTCTTCAGATCATAATGCAGATATTGTGTGTTTCCGCTCCAACATTTGCTGGATCCGCCCTCTTTAGGGTCGACGGACTGCCCAAAGGTACATTTTGAGGTGACCTTGGCGGGCAATGGGCCAAGGCCGGAGGTTGTGAAGACAAGTGGCACGTCAGGTATGGCGCGCAGTAAGTTCCCGTGATGTTTTGCGGTGATGCCTGAGAAGGCAATGACCAGCTGCTTTGGTTCATTGGCGTCTGAAACGTCGAACAGGGGCCGTGGCGGCTTCCCGAACTGGTTGATATATGATATCGCCTCATCTCCGTCTAATGATTCAGGCAGCTGGCCAAGAGTAGATGGCTTATCGGGCGTGCTTAGGCGCTGAAGGAGGATGGCTTCGGCGAGAGAGTTTGGTATTGTTGGCGGATTGGATGTTGTCTGCTTCGGGGCTCTAAGCATGAACACTTCAGCTTGTTGTGGTGCCGAATCAACGGCGGTAGCGACGCCAGCCAGGGCTGGCAGCAGGAAGCTATTTAGCTTCATTTCGGGCGAATTCTATGTTAGCCTCGATATAGTTGCTTGGAATAGCCGAGCGGATAGAGCAAATTTGATTATTCCAGTAATCTTCGCTGTACTGAAGGTGATGCCTGTCTGCAGTTGCTAGCTGCCGCAGGAGCTCAGATATCAGAAGGTACCTACTTACTTACTTCTTAGGTAGATCCAATTGTTCTGTACGGTATAAAACGGTATAAAACGGTGATGGCATGGGTGAGGATTTGCGCGAGGGGCACAGTACCTATGCAAGTGCTAGACTAGGGTACCGTAATGGAATAATTGCCACGTGATAAACGGAGAACATATTGCGACATGTACCTACCATTACACTGATAACAAGAACCAGTCCCAGTCAAGAGTCAGAATAAAGAGATGATTCGTGTGATCCACTAGTACAAGTTTTAAATGGAATTCCTTATCTTTAGCGGTGTGTTTCTATTCAATCTCAATTCTACCCTCGAGTCAGCAAGTACGAGATATACTGGTATCTGTACTTAAGGGAGGTACAGGTAATATGCAAGACAATGCCCCGTTAGTTACGGTAGAATTGTCCAGTCTGGAACTGTACATAGTACGTCACGGTGCCATTTTCACGGGTCTAGAACTTCTGAATCTAACTACAGTACTCACCTGCACAGGTCCCCTCCAAATCTAAGCCTCAACACACGACGACTCTTCCATCGCCATCAGCTTGTTGCCTTGGCCGTATATTGGGGCTTTTCTGATCGCACTGCAATCCGGTCCCCAAGAAGCGCATCGATCGGGTGATATCCTAATACAGCTTCCGTCCATCGCTGCTGGCTTGTGCGCGAGGCTTCCCTCTACCGCCGGCCGCCGGCCTGTGGCGCGCCTCACAATTTGCCCACCATGTTTCGACTCCTCCGCCTACGGCGTCTTCTGCCCTTCAGCGCGCGAGTTAGAAATACAAGCGCTCCGCAAGCCGATGTTATCCGCGTACAGAGAGTCAGATTTCGGAAGAAAAGGTTTAAGATTTCGTACGCCCACTCCTCCGCCCCTTAGAGCGTCAGTTTGTCCTGATTGTAAAGCTATAGAGATGTACTCGTCATAGCCGGCCTCAGCTATGCTTTTTACGAGATCGTCACCCGAGCTCTGATCGTCTTGGTAAAAGAAGTGGATATAGAACTCACGGAAGAGGAGCTCCAAGAACTTGAAGATGAAGAGGCAGAGCCTCTTTTCATCCCATTTCCAGGCTTCACACAGACAGTCGAACCAGTGCCGTTCCGGAGTTCCGATCCCGAGTGGCGAGAATATATAAAAGTTAGCAGGAATCAAGCGCTTTTATCATCAATTCGAAGTCAGCTCACCCCAGCCATCCTATTAAACTTAGCTGCTCACAAGTGAATAGCCAACCTTGCTGAGATGGCGCGTCGTGCTGTTGCGAACGATCGTCAACTGACGAGCAGATGCGGAAAGGACGCCACTGTTTCTCGATTTTGGTTGGACGTGCAATACCCATTAAAACCACCACCAACTTTCGTCCGACAGGGGTATGATCCTTTCGAACTCTCTTCCCAGATACTTGTCGACTAACTCGAACTCAGATTGGCCTTTGGCGGAGGGGATGGTATTACGTGGACCACACAGCCAGTTGATTCAACTGCCGTCTTTTGGACAAGGCAAGCACTCTGGCCTTCGGCGCTAACTTCGTCTTTATGGAGCTTCACCAATGCACTGGTGCTGCAAAATGCCACTACTATCGCGAGGTTTTTCGGGTACGAATCCCAACAGGATTCACTATCCAATATGCAACAAACAATGGAAAAATTACTACAGCTTAACAAGCAGGCCAGAAAGCCTAGTTCGGACTCACCACCCTTCCCCTCTCAGGACCGCACAAGCGAGGGTTCAGCTACTAGTCCTTTGCCTTCGATGGACAAGAGAGCCGCAGGCTCTACAACAACGCCTGAGACTCTAGGTACAGGGACTAGCGTGGACAGCAGTGTGCCGACCGTATCAAGTGCAAAAGTGTACATGACTCGAACAGCTCAGGAACACACCAGTGGTCCCTGGGATAAGTTCAAGAAGAACTTGGCACAGAAATGGCGTCGGCCACCTGCCTATCCCCCCAGGGGTTCGATATGCGTGTCTGGACTCGTTGAAGTAGTAACCCAGCGTACCGTCCTAACCGTCGATTGCATCGCATGGTGGGATCCCCAGACAAAAAACTATGACCCGCGAACGGTGTACCTAGGACTAAGGGCGATCCGTCCAAAAGTACAGGCGCCGCTTAGGTAGATTTAATGTGGCATAAGTTAGGTTAACTCTAGCACAAGAGAACAGGACCTCTGTGCTATGATACAACAGGCGTTTAGGAAGGTGGCATCAACTGACGATGAACATGCATAGCGGTTTCTCTGGATAGGCTCAGTGTCGGCTTGACCTGGCCGCGAGGTCGTCATTCCGACCTAGCCATATAAGTCAGTATCATTTTGGGTTCTGATGAAATATATCTTGGCAAGCGAATCAAGCAACCTTAGATGGCTTGAACAGTAGCGTTGGTTTTTTATTCGAAGACTGCGCTTAAGATTTCCTTTATAATAATGATAGAAACTTTTGGTGACTTGGATCACCTCTACAGCGCAATTCATGGGTGATACGAGCAGTTTTATGTGAGATTATCACCTAGAGTATTGCGATAGCCTACGTTCCTAGGTTGTGAGAACGGATTATCTACTCGATTATTGCGAAAACAATCAATGCACTCCGCAGTGTCTGCCAAGGATTCTCCTCCCGAATAATCAGGGCGGCGTGCAATATCGTTGTCAATCTTGATGAAGCCCTTCATCGATACTAATGCTATACTCTCCGTTGTACTATCCTTCGAGTAGGTGGGTTAGACATTCATTCCGAAACCTTCAGCAAGGTCCAACCCTGAAATATACCATATGCAATTTTGATATACCTAGGCACAATAGCCATACCTCGACAAGGCATGGCTAGCGACCCAAGAATCCGCAAGCTACGATAATACCTTGCACTGAGATTTCGCAGGTATCCCTTAGCCCTACCGGGGAGAAACGCTATGACGATGGAATAGAATGGACTGGACGATGAGGGAGGGCATTGTAATTTATTCGAGATCACCTACACTACCTAGTTGGGTCAATGCAAGAATGGCCATACCTTGACATAAGTACCTTACCTGTGCTTTATTTGCCAGAAGCTTACGGGCGCATGGTTGCTTGGTCAACTTATGAACCTCATTCTATCAATAGCCAATGGGACTGTCTGTTCACGGATTCATTATCTGGTATGTGTGAATACTGTCCACGCGCACCATGGTACAACTTGTTCTTCACATGTAAAACGTGGAAAAGGCTAGGTTCCTGAATCAAGTAATAGGTGAAATCTTGCAGATAATATTGCTCTATACCTGCCTAGTTTTGGGTCCCTTATTTTATCTACTGATCTACTTCTGGGTCATCTTCAGTAGACGACTTCCGCGACCCCGAATAAGCAGTAATAATATTATCGATTAATATAGTGTTACAAGGTCATAAGGCATCTTCAAGGTTGTAGGGTTACAAAGAACAATTTGTCAAAATGCTCTCTCCGGATAGGCACCAGATCGATCTAGTGCTTGTACCTGTATCTCCCCTATGCACCAGATGCTGACCACACTTCCTGTATACAGCTTCAGCTTTGCCCTCAGGAAGGTTAGAAGAACCCTTGCGCAACACTAGAAGTCTACATCTACCGTGTACTGCGCTCCTGAGACTAATTCATATGAGATTCAAAAATGCCGAGGCGGATGCTAGGATGAAGAGCAACAACCAAGAAATTACACTGATACTGTTGGAAGGAATCTAGATATCTTCAATCTCAGCCCTTGAGAATTCGCCCGCTCACAAAAAAATATTGCTGTATTCAAATACCATAATGCGATACATAATCGTGAGCCTCAAGTACATGGAAACCTAATAGTTGTATAGGTGAGAGTGTGACTTGTTGAACACCTACCTAGTGTATGGGAACCAAAAGTACCCGGGATGAGTAGAATGCTACGAGGGAAGGTACTATAACGCACCAGGTAAGTAAAGGTGTCAGAGGGGGTTTTCAGAGTGAGTAGAAGGCCAGTTGTAGTCAAACAGGTAGGCCGAAGGGTAGTATAGGGCTCAGTAGAATAGTCAGTCGATCCCCGAATCCTCTATATATCTGGGGGGAAGAAACTTTCATGTGAATACCTACACTGGCCCAATATAGCGGCCGCTGGTGTAAATTGTGACCATGTTCCTTGACGAAAGGAGAAAACTTTTGTTGTGGCCTGAGAAACAGCGATTGCCATAGAAGGACACTATTACAGGTATATCCAAGAATAATCATTAACGCTGCCTCTGAGGGAGTTGGCGTCATCATGTTTTTGTTTTGCACATGCGTACGGGCTATACAAAGGGAGAGCTTGATGCATAACAGCACCTTCCTTGACTGACAGTCGAGTCTTCGGTGCATTGCTCCCTTATTCACATGCTGTGTAATCTCAAGGGGCTAGTAAAGCATGTTTCTGCGAGCGAGGAATATCAAGAGTGTAAGAGCACACTTTCAAGTATCTGAAAAAAACTTATTCACTACCTGCTTGGGACACAGTTCTCAGGAAAATAATATAAAGCACAGTCTGATCCCAATCCCTCTACTCTGATCTTTCTCATCTTCAGTTCCCCAAGACTATCCCTAAGTATACACATTACTTGTGTATATTATCGCATCCTTTCTTACGCTGCGTATCATTGTGTTATCACGCTGTATAATACACAATGTCAGACTACCCAGCTCATTGCGCCATGGCCGGATTGGCTCATCATATAGGCTGTATCATCCGCCTGTTCGAAGCTTGCCACCAGGGGTCTCTGGACCCGTAACAATTCAAAACGGTGCCCACGCACCAATACCTTTTAACATCCCCCTTAATGGAGAAATCGGACCGGAGATCTGTTCCGCAAGATTTCAAATACGATAAGACCACGATTAGAATTGGAGAAGACGTGGCGTAGCTAGAGACTACCCCCTGTCCCGTGTGGGCTTTAGAGATCTAGCTCACCATATGATTGAGAGCGATCAGGTCAGTTGTGTTCAAAACGCTCAGACAGCGCGGTCTGATTTACTAACCTATATGAATTACAATAGGAACCGCCAGAGAACAAGGGTATTGTGAAGAGTGCGCTGGAGTTATTGGAGGCTTGCGACTTCCACCGCAACGTGTGGATGACTACGGAAGGTTCTTCGATTTCCGAATGCGCCGTTCGAAAGTTGGACAAGATAGTTACAGATGTTCTCATCATACCAACCTTAGCATGTCTGGGGCAGCACTTTGATCGGGTGAGAATCTTCCCCATTCCTCTTATCCCGTTTCTTTCTTCTTTGCTCTACTTTGTTAGCGAGATTCAGTGCAAGATGGGACTCCCTTGGGTCCACGTACACCCGAAACCTCACACACTTCTCTAGAGGTTTTCTACGATTTACTCGAGAAACACGGAACGCTAACGTTCGATGCTGCAGTGGATGAAGACGCCGGGTCCGCGGAAGAAGTTTCACGTTACTATGACATTGTGGTTCGTGCGTTACACGTTCACCACCATGTATTCCTATAACATTGATCTTCTGAATAACCTTGGCTCCCCGCCACGCAATGTAAGTTTCTACTGTATCCTTGTGACCGATACTTGCTACGGATTGTGGAGTTTATACTAACATGACTAAGCTACAACTATTTTACCGGAGATCACACCTCCTCCACGATCTACAAATGCTCTTGGACGAGTTTGATAAGTGTTGGATTGGGGCTTGCGGTCATGCCCATGGCCCTTAGGATTCGATGACAACGCGCTCTCAGTTTTCTGGGAACCAGGAGGGCGGCCGGCGGAAGCAGACACACTCCTTTGGACCCCATCCCTAACTTTGGAGTACGTCCGCTATTTATTCGATGCATGGGATATTCCCATGCACTACTACTAAACTGGAAAACAACAATAATTTCTCAAACGTCAAAACGACCCCGTTAGACGTTCAAGTGGTCTAACGGTTATTATGTAACCCCACCTATGTTCAACATAATTCGCATTGGTTTACACAGGAAGATGGACAGGCGCCATTGTCAAGTAGTTCGTTGTTATCGACCCCTGTTCAAGTCACCGACGGGGGGTTTTACCGGAGTGAGCACGGGTGTTCAGTAAGGGGCGTATGGAATCGGAGGGAGGAGGAATACCACTAAAGTAATCACTCATTCAAGGCTTTGGAGGAGATGGTGGCAAAGTGAATTAATGTACGGAATCATGACTTAACGCGTTGTGTCTTTTTGTTTGTTGATTTAGGGACTGGTGGCGGGTACCTTTAGTCTACAGCATCAATACCAGCTTATTCTCATAACAGGACATGCAATACTAGAAACTTGGACATGCTTAGGCTCACAAACTTAAATTCTAGGAATCACTTAACTTTTGGGAGCGGTAGGAATAACGAAGCTAAGGGGATACGTAAACGGCTATTTCGAACGATGAATTGTAGGGTACCTTTCAAAGGCACAGGAACACCTCCCGGTACTGCACGGGCCTCCATCAATGCGATGCTTGTATGACGTTTGAATCCGAAGTGTTGTGACTAGCTAAAACGAATGACATGCGTATTGAAATGCCAATTGTGTTGTTGTGAATCGACCCTAATCCGCCACATAACTCACGAGGAACATCATCAACACTTAGCTAGGTACTCAACAAATAGAATGGTAAAATACGTTGAAAATATCTAGTTTGGCACCTAGTATTAGAGTTCTTGTTTCATTACATATCGTCCGCGATACCACATACTTTCCTGCCCATCCCAAACCAGCTTAACATTCAGGCTTATCATCGACCCCCCCTTCCTGCTCACCGGCACTCTGCTTCCACCCTCATACTCCTTACGGCCGATCCTTGATTTTCATATGCTTCGCCGCGAACTCTATCGCAGCGGTGTACCCAAAGGTACCAAGGCCGCAGATCACAGCCACGGCCTTATCCTGGAAGTAGCTGTGGTGGCGGAACGGCTCGCGCGCATGCACGTTGCTGATATGCAGCTCGACGAAGGGGATGTCGACACCCAGGATGGCGTCCCGGATGGCCACGCTCGTGTGCGTGAAGGCGCCCGGGTTGATGACGATGGCGTCGACGTTCCCCCGCGCCTCATGCAGCCGGTCGATGATGGCCCCCTCGTGATTCGATTGAAAGTTTTCTAGCTTCACACCTAGCTCTGAAGCTTGCGCCTCCCCCTGCGAGACTACGTCTGTTAGCGTCGTGCTCCCGTATATGTGAGGCTCTCGCGTCCCGAGGAGGTTGAGGTTGGGACCGTTGATTAAGAGTATTGTTCGTGACATAATGAGGGGTCTATGGGAGAGGGTTTGAGGCTGTGGAAGTGGATAATAAGAGTCTTCGGTGGTTTACACGGCTGTCGAGGTAGGTTCTGCAAAAATAATAAACCTCTTTCTAGGTATATTGAGCGGTTGTCTTGATAAGCCCAACTTTCCGGTTCGAACCCCAGGTTTTGGGCCCCGGACCCCATGACCGGAAAATCATTCTACTATTGCGGGATCTAGGAGGAGACGGGTTGCTCCACCGGTCCGCACTCAGTACTAAACTACGGTAGCGCGGAGAGAATCTGGGGAAAAAGACTCATCCGAGGCGAAAGGTAAGTCTTTATACAATACGTACGGTATAGGATAACTTAAGCGAATAAGCCATCCCCGTCATGTGGCATCAAAAGTTTGCTTCTCTACATTCATGCCATGAAAGGCAAATGTGTTACACGTCTGTACCGCTCGACTAATCCGATCCGGATAGGCACAGTTCGGACCCCAGCAGTATGATTCACGCAAAGGCTTGCTGTGAGTTTGTAGTCTACATCACACAAATACTTTATTTCCAAAGTGCTACTGAAAACGTATTCATACCCCCAAGAGGATGGTTACTGCTTGCTTCTATGCATATGCATACCAAATTCAAGCATCCTACGAACAGTTCCGAATTGCCAGATCGATGCTATCATAATAGGGAGATCCTAGACCAGCATTAGCTGCTCGGGGTAAAATATGTGTACCAGCCTTCTCTAGTTGGGATGAATGGTCGTGATAGTGCAAGTTTCGAGCCACTTTCAGCTCAGGTGTGCTCAGATAGCCCAGGACCCCTGTTGACGATGTTGAACCATGCCGAGCATGTATGTTGATGTATCTCTCATCAATAATTTTTCTTACTAAGAATAGAGAGAAGATGCTGTAAAACACTTTTTTGATCTCCTATTTTCATGGTCGATATAGGAATAAGGAAATGCCTTCCACGCATAGCGATAGAGTAGGGTTCAATGACTACGCACGTGGACTCGGGGTTTATGGGGTCACACTGCAACTCTAGCATATTGCCTCGGCACGCTTCACCTAGGGTATCACCCACCCCAATTCGGAACATCTAGCCTGCCAGATGTGAGCTGAATGCAGACAAAATGCGGAGAGCATCGTCTCACTTGAAAGTGCTGATAAAACTTGGATAAGTAGTTCCACGAGAGACGTCCTCCTCTTTGCCATTTTTTTTTTTCAATCAATCATTAATTCTATAGTGGCACGATATCAGCTATCAGCCCAGAAGAGCAACTATTGACAAGCCTAGGTGAAAGGGACTGTTGTCTCTCAACCGCTCAATAGATAAATTCGGCGCGGGTGTGTTGGAACAAACAAGCTTCCGACTTTCTATTCAGTCGGAGGAAGGGGAAGAACTAACCTCTGTCATTTCACTTTCATTCATTCAAGTCGGCGTTCGTTCAGGTTTCTCGTAGAACCTTAAGCATGCCTACCGTCACGTTTCCTGGGCGACCTCTCGCGTCGTACCCGGTGCTGAGCGCGTTCTACAAGCTCTTTTACTCATGCACCATCATCGCCCGCCTGCCGGTGTGGATATTTAGCTACGCTCTCTTCCCGCGCACGAGGCCGCATTCAAGAGTGAGGAATTTCATGTTGCATCTTCTATTACTGTTAAAGACTTAATCTCGCTTAATGGCACTGGAATCATGCTATCGGAGCTTTGCAATGCCAAAATCTCTCCCTCGGACAGCAATTACTAACCTGTGGTATTCTAGTGGAGTTTCAAACAATCAATCATGCTCCGGTTCCTCACTGAATCCGTCTATATGATAAGTCGCACACAGACACCAACACCGCTATCGCTAGAGCCGGGTAAAGATAAGGAGAGATGGGAGAAGCTTGACCCGTTTCCAAAAGACGTGTACCGCGGGCCCCTGGACAGTGCAAGCGTTGAGCCTTCTACAATAGGGGGCAAATGGTATCCAGCGAAGCCAACTGATTTCGGCGCCATCGGGACGGTTCTGCTTCACATACACGGCGGTGGATTTGTCGTCGGCACAGGCCGGACTGACCAGGATGGCATAATGGCCGAGCTCTTCATCAAGCACGGCAAAGTGGGATATATCTTCGCCCCTCAATACCGTCTATCATGTCGTCCAGAGTCTGCTCCGTTCCCGGCGGCGCTGCAGGATTCGCTCACGAGCTACCTGTACTTCGTGCGGACACTCGGGATCCCGGCGTCCAACATCACAATTTCCGGCGATAGCGCGGGAGGGAATCTTGTGATCGGACTGCTGCGGTACCTTGCCGAGTACGGGGCTGAGCTCAACATCCCGCAACCCAAGAGTGCCGTCATATTATGTCCGTGGGCGGCGCCAGCGAAGAGCCTATGGCCCGAATTTGTCGTCACGAGCAATCCCAACTTCCGCACCGACTACCTTGGCATAGAACTCTGCCGCTGGGGCGCTGCAACGTATATTCGCGATGTGCCGCCGGAACACCCGTACATCACGCCGTTAGGCCACCCTTTCAAGACGTCTGTACCCATGCTTGTGACGTTTGGCTCTGCCGAGATCCTGGTCATCGATGGCTTGGAATGGGTTAAGGAGATGGAGCGTGTGGAAGGGAACGAGATCGAGACTTACATCGAGCCAGACGCGCCGCACGATACGCTGCTCGTTGGTCATATTTTAGGATTCGAGGAAAGTTCCGCCGAGGTGGCGCGGAAAATGGGTGAATTCATTAGGCAATATGCATGAGCTTGGGTGCAACTGACTGTCTGTGATATAGACGTACGAAAGTGCTAGCAGGGGAAGGGATAGATAGGGGCTATGGATGTCGGTTATGGTAGCACGATGCTTCAGAGTTTGAGGAGAAGCAGGTTATGAGAGGATCAAGATCGTCATCCCAAGAGTTTGGGCTCTTCATTCAAAAGCTCCATGCTGCTCTTACTGCCCGAGAGACAGTTTTTTGATACAGTGTCTTATGACGTCATGCTTTGCGTGCAGAGCTCTTTCGCATCCTGTAAACGTGGAACTTGGTGTCTTGGATATGAAAAGGCAGACGAGACAACATGAGAGAATGCCAATTCTGCTAAATTCAAAAACTGGAGATAGGTATGCTGTGTTTTGACGCCCTATCTTGCGGCAGCTTCATGCTAGGGAAAGATATAAGCCAAGTTATAACTCTAGTTCGCCCAGTAGTATCAAATGAGATGGAGGATACTCGAAGAGATTGGTCAATGAATTGCAACTAGGTAGTTCCACAACATAAGACATATTGTTTGTAATATGTCTCAGATCTTTGAGTTGAGTCAAGCCACGCATGGGAACCCCGCGTTGGCCGTTAATACCTGTTATCATCATCCCGTGGTCGTTATCTATCTCCTTTGCGACACGGCCCCGGGATCGCTGGAAGCCTACCTTAGGAAGAGAAGTGCACTGCTTACATGGCGTTGACAAAACAACGGTCGTACTTTGGGTTACACCTAAACAACATTGCGAATACGAATACTTATCTTCTCGGACTTTAGTGAGCAAGTACTATTGGGTTCCCAATGACTTCATCAAATTGTTGTTGTCGTCAGCATCAGCATCAGGACCAACTAACCGTAAGCCCAGGTAGATTGAATTGATAGAAGTGGCAAGCGTCAAGCAATAGATCAGCCAATATACCATCATCAACATGACAAACGAATTCAGACCCGCATTGATTGTTGTTGACGTGCAAGAAGACTTCTGTCCTCCAGTATGTACCTACATCATCCTCCCTTGGCCCGAGCAGACCCGAGGTCACGGGCCCTCAAGATGAATGAACAAATCGACTGACAAAACAACGAAAAGAACGGTTCCCTGGCCGTTCCCGGAGGCCGTGATATCGTCGCACCAATCAACAAGTTGCTTGACCTGCCGTTCGTCCTCAAGGTCGCGACCAAAGACTGGCATCCCCAGGACCACATCTCGTTCGCAGCCAACCACGCGGGCAAGCAGCCATTCGTCGACTTCGCCACCGTCGTGAACCCGGACAACGCAGCCGAGAGCTACTCGACGCGGCTGTGGCCGGTGCACTGCGTGCAGGGCTCGCGCGGCGCGGCGCTGCTCCCGGAGCTCGAGACGGACAAGCTGGACGAGGTGCTCGAGAAAGGCACGGACCGGCGCGTCGAGATGTACAGCCCCTTCTACGACCCGTTTCGGACCAGCGACAGCGGGCTGGCTGGGCTGCTGCGCGCGCACGCCGTCACCGACGTCTACGTGGTGGGGCTGGCCGGTGATTACTGTGTTAAGGCGTGCGCGGAAGATGCCGCCAAGGAAGGATTTCGGACTTACCTGATCGAGGAGTGCACCAGGGCCGTCGACGCGGGCGCTTGGCCGCTGTGCAGGAGGACCTTGGAGGAAGGATCGCGCGCTAGGGTCGTAAGCTTGGACGGGCCTGAGGTCCTTCGCTTGAGCCAGAGCTTGATGACTGCAGCACCAGCACAATCACAGTAGTTAGTGTACGGTAGGGTACATGGAAGTAAGTGAGTAAGTAAGTATGTATGTATGAAGCGTGAATCGGAGAGACGATTGTGGGGGTCCGCTCGCAGATTGCAGCATCAAGATTTACGCAGTAGGGTTAAGCTTCTGCCTCACTTCCAACTCACTTTCCCGCTTTCCCGCTTTCCGCTTTCCGCTTTCCGCTTCCAGGATTGCCAGAACTTTCCGCACTTAGATACCATATACAGGTATGTATGTAAGTATCTATGGATGGATGGATGGATGGATGTATGTATGGCTGTATGCATACCTATACCTAATAAATAATTGATGCTTGAGGTCAATGCCCTACATCATCGGCAATGCATCTGAGCCGGCGCAAAACATTCACATGCAAGCCCGTTTCGCCAAAGGTAGTACGGTAGTAGTAGCATAGGTACTCTAGTAGTGGCGCAATCTTCGTAAGATCTCACCCTCATTTTTCATGCCTATCTACCTACATATACATAGTATGTACTGTATGTACATTGCCGTGTGTCCTAGCGCCCAAGACCTTCCCTGTTCAGTGCTTGCAGAATCTAGACTCTCCCGATAGCTATCTATCTATCTATCGTCAAGTCGTGCGGATTCGGATGCTTGCCGGTTTCTGATAGCCGAATACTTGCGTATTGGAGCTCACCTCTCTGTACTGTAAGTATTACCCAGGGTCTTGCGCTTATCACATTACCCACGGAGCTTTTGTACATTCTCACGTTTTGGCTCCAATGCATCGTCTCTACGGAGGTGTCAATACCGCATGGGACTGCCTTTTCAAGACTTATTGTCGAAGGCTAGGTATATAAAATTCCAGTAAACTTAAGTCCGCTGCATTGTCGTATTCGCCTGGGAAAGTTTTTGCCATGAACACAAAAGTATATCCTCCCAGGTTTCACTAGTTTGGAGTGCTGTGTTACTTATTCTTGAGTTAGCTCCATGAGTACAGTACCTAGATCTTGTCTGCGCAAAGACCGAGAGTTTGTCTTATTATCACGGTCTTTGCCTGGTTTCTCAATGTGACCTACACTAGATAAGCTACACTAGTTGGTGAGTAAGCTGCCGGGGATGGGACAAGATTATGCGTAGTTCGTGGAAGATCCACCAAATCATGTCTCGGTTGATAGAAAGATACTTGTAAGTAGATAGATACCCAACCTTGCAGTGTGATATCAGTTATAATAGGCAGTAAAAAGCAATATGAGAACGACTTGAGGCAGCATTAGCTGCATGTCTCAAACGATTACCTATCCCCTCACCATAAAACTGCTTCAAATATCAGAATACCTATGGATCGTTGTTTTAGGTTACCAGACGATCCCGTCCAGCTATCAAAGGAATGTAGGCCAAAAAATAGCCAATGCCCGGCCCGGGGAATCATAAGCATGCGGTAACTATTCATAGTAAAGTGAATTGTAATTAGGTCTTTCTCTACGCTGGAGCCGCGGGCGACACACTGCTAATCTACACTATCTACGCTACCTACCTGCTAATCGTCGTGCGGAGTCAGTAGTTAAAATTGCGCCTAAGTATATGTAGAATTACACGGATGTGCTCGTTTAGCCCTATGAGATTTTGACAAGTAAAAACCTCGATAGCGGTGTACTGGACATGGGGGCGTTTTTTCCCGGATGTGCGCCACGGGTATGCATGTCTTTCACGTCTAGGTACTCAAGTAGATACTTTTTTTTTTAAGCATGTATATTTATATATATCCCCACTCTGGAATAGACGACAGAGTGGCTGATCACGATGACTAGATGAGCTGTCTCACCTACTGATCGTTCTTAGGTCGACACTGAAGAAACGAGCCTTTGACTATGCACTGACCATCTTGCAAGAAGCCTTAGGGATATCGTCCGTGATGTTTCACCATAGCGTAACTTTTAGGTGCAAGTCAGCCGAGATCGTACATGTAAGCACCGGTGGTGGCCTCGTCTACAGTAGTGTCGACCTAATCTACCATCCACACACAGATCCACAGGTATCTAGGTACCCCAACGGCCTTACTACTTGCTTGGTCTAATTGAGATGGGTCGCTTACGTAAATCCCAGACCTACCCAGGCTTTTGTAGTGTACTACCTATGTAAGTACTGTTAGGACGAATGTGTGGTGAGAAGTAACTCAATGTTATCATATTACTGAAATTTCAAGAAGCCAGAGGTCAATTTGGCCGGACTGATTGGAGCAATGCATTTGGATTCTTGGACCAAGATTCGCGTTGCGTCTTTGTCCAGGGCAATTATAGACGCCCATCAACGTTTCCCAGTGGGAGGGAACGGGCTAAAGTTGGAAATATTTGTGGATCGACTCTGATGGACTAAAGAGACCGTCTTTTTTTCGAGCGAGATCGACAATGGACATAATCAAAGAGTCCTACACTACTATGAATGATGGGTACTTTTGGAGAGTTCAAAGATCGAAGAAAGATAGTTCTTTCAACAGAGTACTCCCGAGTCTTGTTTATATTGTATTCACTATATTCATGGCCATCTACCCAGGCACACACTGCATACATGCCGGCCGGCATAGTCGAGCTTTTGGCATAGGCACTAAATAACTAAGTACCTACCCTACGTAAGTACATGCATCCAGGGTAGGTAGCACTGCACCGTAAGGCGGTAGGTACACTCATCTGCATGTGGGTAGCGTACACACATAGGTACCTACCTACCTATAGTAGGTAGTATGTACCTGCCTTGCCATCCATCGGGGGGAAAGCATTACCAGGTCAGGGCAGCGCCGGGACTAGCAGCGTTACTTGAGCGTGAGATTAGGTAGCGACTACTACACTGGCCCGGCAAGATCACTGAGCCAGTTATGGGCCAGTTATACGCCAGTGGTCAGAGTGGGCCCATATTTGTAATTTTAGGGCCCTTGACTTTCGAAGCTCTCCCCGAAGCCTCACGATAAACCCACTAAATTTCTGTTCGCGAGCCCCGACGCTCTCAATTACCATCCCCCCCCCTACGGCCTACATTACCCCTTCATCATCCTTTCGCCCTTTCGTTTCCCACCTCCTTCTGGTGTTTTCTCTTTCTTCCCTCTCCGTGCCACCCTCACCCAGCCTCTCCTGTCCGAGTTGTCGCCCTTGGTTCCGGCGAAGCTCGTGCTCTCGCCAGCCCGATCAGAACTTACTGGCGTATCCTTCCAATCGCCGGTAACCCTGGTCACGCTTCAGCCCCCACACCAGCAAGGACATTAAGTCAACGCCGACAACTGGCCGATGAGCGACGAAACGGTGTAGAAACCGATCATCAGCTCACCATTTCACCCAATTTTCTTCATTTTCTACTCGACCTACTAAGTAGAGTTACACGGCATCTTCAACAGCGCTGCCGTTTCATTGGCAAGGATTCACCATCCTCAGCGCCCCCTCACCGTTGGTGAGATTTCCATTTAGGTATGCAACTCTGTCTCAGACCTTCCCCACATTGTCCATCTCTTTGCCTGGAAATATGGCTGGAGTGATTCAATTGATGCTGGATATACTGCGCATGTGCTTAAACTAACGCCACTCGGTCCAAGTGCATAGTAGCGAGACCCCTCCATATGTATGCAGCCGAGGTAGCTGTACATAATGGCTTCCGTTTCTTCGTTTCTCCCCTCCCGCTTTCGCGGTGAGCAACCGAAAGACGTTCATGCACCTCCTTCCAAGATGAATAAAAAAATTACCCCTGTTTTGCAATTCTTCTCGAAACTGGCTTGCTCTCACCCAGTCCACACCATTGTCGTGATCGCCCTGTTGGCCAGTACCGCCTATGTCGGTGTCATGAAAGAGAGCCTGTTGGATGTGACGAGGAATGTGCGGAACGCCGAATGGTCCTCGCTGGTCGAAGGAAGCCGAAACCTGAAAACTGGCCCCGAGACTGGCTGGAGATGGCAGGCTCTCGATCCTAATGCCAAAGCGCCCAAGGACGCTGATCATCTGGCCCTGATTACCCTCGTTTTCCCTGAGTCCAGCGAAAATGCAGCGCAACAAGCTCCACTGGCGCACGTCGTACCTCTGCCTGACAACTTGACCGTTACTCATCTACCCTCTACGTCGAACTCGATTGCTACCTATGCCCAAGACAGCGCTCTAGCCTTCGCTCTCAAGTACAGCGAGGCTTCTGAGTTTGTCGCTGCTGTCCAGGAGATTCCCAACGACGGGCCAGCCCAAGAAGTGCGCCAGAACGAACTGGGACAAGATGAGGAGAAGATGTGGATTATGAAGGTGGCCCGCGGTCACTCGGGCAACAGCATTGTACGTTGGGTGCAGAATGCCTACTCTGAGTTCCTGGATCTGCTTAAGCATGCGGATACCCTTGATATTGTCATCATGGTCCTCGGTTACCTTTCTATGCATCTCACCTTCATTTCTCTATTCTTATCTATGAAGAAGCTCGGCTCAAATGCTTGGTTGGCAATCAGCGTCCTGTTCTCTTCTACTTTCGCATTCCTTTTCGGTCTCAATGTTACAACGAAGCTTGGAGTACCCGTCAGTTTTGTTTTGCTCTCGGAAGGTCTACCCTTCCTAGTTGTTACAATTGGCTTCGAGAAGAACATTGTATTGACCAGCGCTGTGCTATCTCATGCGCTAGAATACCGAAAGCCCGAGCAGACAGGTAAAGGAGCTAAATCGTCGAACATCTCTAGCACGAACGATGGAGTTATTCAGTATGCTGTTTCACGAGCCATCAAGGACAGCGGTTTTGAAATTGTTCGCGATTACCTCATCGAAATCATTATCCTGATTGCTGGGGCCGCGTCTGGTGTCCAGGGAGGTCTTCAGCAGTTCTGTTTTTTGGCTGCATGGATTCTGTTCTTCGATTGCATCCTCCTTTTCACCTTCTATACCGCCGTTCTTAGTATCAAACTTGAAGTGAACCGCATGCGCCGTCATCTCGAGGAGCGCCGAGCGTTGGAAGACGATGGTGTTAGCCGACGAGTGGCTGAGAAAGTTGCTTCTAGCAACGATTGGCCTAGACAGGACACTGGAGATCGAGCTACTCAGGCTCTCTTCGGTAAGGATGCCAAGAGCAGCAGTGTCCCCAAATTCAAGTTCTGGATGGTCGTTGGCTTCTTCGGTCTTAACCTCCTGAATATCTTTACCATTCCTTTTAGAACTACCGGTCTATCCGGTGTTACATCATGGTCCGGAGGTTTGGGCGGCGTCGTAAGCCTTCCTCCCTTGGACCCTTTTAAGGTTGCTGCAAACGGTTTGGACGAGATTCTGTTCAACGCCAAATCTCATTCTAGAACTACGGTGGTGACCGTCCTGACTCCCATCAAATATGAACTGGAATATCCCTCAGTACATTACGCCGTTCCGTCCACGGACACGGAATCTCGCCAAGAGGATGAGCACGGCTTCACGAGACTTCAACGATACGGCGTGGGTGGACGTATGGTAGGCAGCATTTTCGACAGTTTGGAAGACCCGATATTGTCTAAATGGATTGTGATCGCTCTCGCTATGAGCGTTGCGCTTAATGGATATCTGTTCAATGTTGCCCGTTGGGGCATCAAAGACCCAACTGCTGCAGATCACCCCATCGACCGCAAAGAGCTTGCAGCTGCTGAGAGATTCAACGATCCACGGGATAACGTTGCACTCCCATTAGGAGGTATCCAACCGAAACGAAAGCCGACACTACCTGCTACTCCTGCCGAAACTGATGACGAAAGTGTTCAAATGAAAGCCCCTCCCCCTAAACCAGCACCTGTCCCTACGACCCCCATGGAACCCCCTTCAGCACCACCCTCTCCTGAGGTTATGAGGAGCCCGGAAGAACTAGACGTCTTGCTCAAAGAAAAGCGTATATATGAAATGAGTGATAGCGAAGTTGTTTCTTTATCTTTGAAGGGCAAAATCCCGGGCTACGCCTTAGAGAAAAGTCTCCGAGATTGCACCCGTGCTGTCAAAGTTCGGCGGTCAATTATTTCGAGGACCCGAGCAACGTCTGCCACAACGAGCCTTTTGGAACAGTCAAAGCTGCCTTACGAAAACTACAATTGGGACCAAGTTCTTGGTGCTTGCTGCGAAAATGTTATTGGATATCTTCCCCTCCCTGTTGGTGTTGCTGGTCCCCTCGTTATTGATGGTCAAAGCTATTACGTTCCTATGGCCACCACTGAAGGTGTCCTTGTCGCCAGTACAAGTCGTGGTGCGAAGGCTATCAATGCTGGAGGTGGTGCTATAACTGTCTTGACCGGTGATGGCATGACCCGTGGGCCTTGTGTTAGTTTCGAGACTTTAGAGCGTGCTGGCGCTGCCAAGATCTGGCTTGACTCGGAAGAGGGACAAGCTACAATGAGGAAGGCATTCAACTCTACGTCCCGGTTTGCTCGACTGCAGACAATGAAGACCGCCATGGCTGGAACCAATCTCTATATCCGCTTCAAGACTACGACTGGTGACGCCATGGGCATGAACATGATTTCGAAAGGTGTGGAGCATGCTTTGAGTGTAATGGCAAATGAGGCTGGTTTCGACGACATGAACATCATTTCAGTCTCAGGAAACTTTTGTATTGACAAGAAGCCGGCCGCCCTCAACTGGATTGACGGTCGTGGCAAGTCGATTGTTGCCGAAGCTATTATCCCTGGTGATGTAGTTAAGGCTGTTCTGAAGAGCGATGTTGATTCTATGGTTGAACTGAACATTTCTAAGAACCTTATTGGATCTGCTATGGCGGCTTCAGTCGGTGGTTTCAACGCACATGCCGCTAACATTGTTGCCGCTGTGTTCCTTGCCACAGGTCAGGATCCGGCGCAAGTGGTTGAAAGTGCCAACTGTATTACCACCATGAGGAAGTAAGTGACAAGATCTAATGCGTTCTTACGAAGTTTGGCTTGCTAACAATTCTCTAGCCTTAATGGTTCTCTACAGATAGCCGTTTCTATGCCGTCGATTGAGGTTGGTACCCTCGGCGGTGGTACGATTCTAGAACCCCAGAGCGCCATGCTTGATATGCTAGGCGTCCGAGGTTCTCATCCAACGAACCCTGGAGACAACGCTCGCCGCCTAGCTCGAATCATTGGTGGTGCCGTTCTTGCCGGTGAACTGTCCCTTTGCAGTGCCCTAGCTGCTGGCCACCTGGTTAGAGCGCACATGGCTCACAATCGATCTCAGCCACCAACTCGTTCCGCCACTCCAGCCCCGGCATCTGGTACAATGACGCCAGGTGGCCTCGCCATGACTACTAAAAGCTAGAGGCAATTTTCCCCCCACGATTCAGTTGACAGATACCTTGCCTAGCCTTGCCTTGTTGCGGGTATAATTAGGTATTATCATATCCGGCGTCGCGCCAGCTTTGCGTAGAAAAGTAAAGCAAGTGGGAATCTGAATGAGTTGCAATCAGCTCTGAATTGTCCTAGTTCTCAAACATCAGATTGCACGACGGAATTTACATAATCAATCACCCACTCAAAAGAATTATAGAACGTGGGCTGCCACGACAAGTCCTTACGAATAGTTATTACAAATACCAATAGACATGGGCGTCAATTAAGGGACGCTGGTGTCTTGCATAGATGATCAAAATATACATGAATCATTGGTTTTGAGCCAATTGAAATTTTCGAAGTTAGATGTTATCCGTTGTCTGCTATACCAATGCGAATTGATTGAATGTCTGGTTATTTCGCCTGATTGAACCCATACTATAAACGCCTTCCAACCCCCTAATCAACGTGGTGCCCATATAAATCCCATAGATATCCCATAGATATCCCATAAATATGCCATCCTATGAGACCCGAAACCCAAACCAACAAAAAGAAAGGAGACACGACCATATTAGATGCTTAATCTGACACCTTCACCACCAGATTCCCCCTCGTCCGCTTCGTCTGCAACTTCTCAAAGACCTTCGGCGCCTCCTCAAAGGGGTAGACATCACCATCGATAACAGCCTCGATCTTGCCCTCCGCCATCCACTGCGCGAGCTGCACCAGATCGTCCCGCCTCGTCTCCATCACAAGAAACTTGTACGCGCGCTTCCCGCCGCCGAGGAAACCAGGCCACATAGCCCGCGACGCCGTCGCGCAGAGCGCAGAGGGACTGAAGTCCCCACCGATCTGCACGAACGTGCCCGAGGGAAGCAGGTAGTCGTTGGCGGCCGTGTACAGGTCCGCCGGACTCCCGCCCACGCAGTCTACCACGAGCTTGAAGACTTGGCCCCGGGCGCGCAGGGCCGAAGCGATGTCCGTCGTGGCGTAGTCTAGGACTGTGGCTGCGCCGAGGGAAGAGCACAGGGATGTGTTGCGGCTCGAACAGGACGTTGTCACGACGCACCCGAGGACCTTGGCCGCGATCTGGATCGCGAACGTGCCCACGCCGCCGCTGCCGCCGTTGACGAAGACTTCGTCGCCGGCGCCTGGGGTTATGTAGGGGATGAGGGTTTGGTACGCTGTTTGCGCCGCGGTGCCCAGGGTGCTTGCTGATGCGGGCGAGACGGATGGTGGGAGGGGAACGCACCCGTTGGGAAACGGTTGGATGTATTCCCCTAACGTCCCGAAGGGGGTGCTTTCGACTTTGCCGAAGACTTTGTCGCCGGGTTTGTAGCTCACCGCGTTTCTAGATGTAGTAGTGTTGTTGATTTTCGCCCCGACTTCTTCGACGACGCCGGCGTAGTCCATCCCCGGCGAAGCTGTGAAGGACCGTGTCAGCGCGAGCGACGCGAGCTGGCCTATCTCGGGAACTTTGTGGTCTGCTGGGTTCGGCGACATGTGCGTTACTCGCACGAGCAGCTTGTCTGCGGGTAGTGGGGATGGCGGACGTCGGGCTGTCTTGCTTAGTGTTAGGGCTGAGGCGAGGCTCTTGCCTGCTTTGGAGTATACCCAGGCGCGCATGGTGTTTGGATTTGGGTGCGTGGAAGAATGATCTTCTGTTTGGTGGTGGTTGTTGTTGTCTGCCATCTTTGAGATTTCTGCTCGATGTTCTTTGACGGTCTTTTATATACGATTCCTTTCCCTCAAGATGTGGTTCTGTCTTTACTGTAATATAGAACCCGTATTCCAATCTAACATCGATCCTAAGTTTGAAAGAGGTTTAGATACAGGACTTAGTGATGATTCTGGAATCCTTTCCAATTAGCTCACTTGACTATTTACCCACTTCGATGAATTATGTTTGCTGAATGTGTTGATGAAGTCCGTACGTTCTTGACTAGGTGCTCGCTGGGCGTTATGCTCCCCCGCTTTTTATATGGACTGCGTTATGGTGGTGGGCCTAGTCCAGTGGTGCTATTATCGTGTTGATATTTTGGTGCTGTGGTGTTGCGTTCATCGTGTTATGGTGACGTCATCTCTTGGCTGTGCCATTACTGTACTCAGTACATCTTAGGCCGAGACAATGTTCATCGTTGCGCCTCATGAATTTCTTGTCTCATGCTGTACTTATAAGTGAGTCTTTTGAATACATAGATCTCGAAAATATAAATTGTACGGTGAATTCCTAGTCGTAATCATATTTACATCGCTAGCATTCAGATGGAGGCGAAAATCAAGAAGTATAGGCATTGAGATAAGGATATGTAAATTCGACAAGCCAGCATATAATCAAATCCAAAGTGTTTTTCATGAGAAAAGGGAGAAATTATGAGAGGAAGAACGTGCTACTTTTGGTTCAAACATACTTCCACTGAACCAACCATCTCAGACGATGCACAATACAATATACCAGCAAAAGCCCCTCAGCCAATTCAGACATGTAAAGATTTCATCTTCAAACCTTGCTTGCTCAGAATCCAAGTTATTCTTCAGCGGGAGATCGATATACTAGCCAGATGAGCCGATTGAGCGAGAAAAGAAGATGTGAGGAGACGAACTATTACCACAGAGCTCACCGTAAGAACCAGTCGATCACGCTTCGCTGTAGTATCATTATCAAGATCGTTCTCAATTAGCCCAAATAAACAGTTGCTATAGAAAATACCGAAGCTCGCAGTGAAGACGACCGAACAGCAGACAAGAAAACAAGAAACACCCACACGCCGAAAATAAGCCATGCATACGTAGATCGTGCCCCGTCTAACAAACAACCAACACAGCCTTCCAACTTCAAGTGATCTATTACAGCTCTAATAGGTTATTATTATATTGTGAATGGCTTTATTTCTATGCCTGGACCTCTTCCCTTGTTGTCACGTCAACTTTCTGGTCTGGAGGATAGGTCAGTGCGGTATTGAATCGATGGTTTGATTATTCTTGGCGAAAGTCCTTCGCCAACCAATTTCTTCTTGGTCTTAATAGTTGACTTAGTTAAGTATATGCCTACAATTGGAAAGCTAGTTCTAACTGCTGGGTCTCATTGATCTGATTCATGACGCGAAGTTTGTATAACATCGCTTTCAGTATTGGCTGCATGTCTCTTCAAGGTCATGGAATGAACTATATTACGCCCGTAGCCGTAGGCGAACTGCATGCCCAACTGTGCGTGCGTATATTAGGCTCTCATGAGTAACCGGCTACATCGGAATCTACAACCTACCTTCTCACGACTAAATAACTTGTCGGAAGGCTAACCTCCTGAGCAGAGTTTTCAATAGTATTTGAGGATACAAATACGAGGTTTCATCAACAGCACAGGAGAAGGGACTTGGATCAGATATTTTAAGAACATATTTCATATATCGCTGAATGTGCTTCCCCTCCTCATTCCCAGTCTTCCTAGTCTACATGCAAGGTACGCTGAGAATCAAAAGATTGGTCGCGTGAGAGGTAAAGAGAGATGGTAGAGGGCGTTATAAGTGCGTAGAAGAAAGGCGTGAATCATCCCAGAAGACTTTTATCTTTACCCCTAAACATATCAAGGCATACCGAATTCAAACCTCATGCCGTCGACGCGTCCCTCGTTCGCGTTTATATACGCTTCGTATGTGTGACGCCCGCCCTTGCGCAATTTAATCAGCGCCCGTTTATGTCCCAATGATGAAAACCGGAAAAATCATTAACGTGCTTATCGTGACGACATGGCCTTGGTCACAAGTCTCTTAAGAGCCAACTCCTTCTTCTTGAGGTCATCAGCGCTTGACTCCTCAATCTCAAGTTGACCCATAGCATCGCTGAGAGTCTCCTCGATCTTCTCCTTCTGGCCACGCTTGAGCTTGAGGGAGAGAGTCGGGTCGGAGATAATCTCCTCGACACGGCTGATGTAGGATTCTAATTGCTGCTTGGCCTCGAACCGCTTGCTGAAAGCTTCATCGTTGCTCTTGAACTTCTCGGCGTCACTGATCATGTTCTCAATCTCAGAAGATGAGAGCTTGCCGACCGAGTTGGCGATGGTGATGTTGGCACTGCGGCCGGAGGTCTTCTCGGTAGCAGTGACCTTGAGGATACCGTTGACATCGACTTCGAAGACGACCTCGAGAACAGCCTCACCGGCCCGCATGGGAGGAATAGGAGCAAGGGTGAATTCACCCAGAGAGGTGTTGTCCTCGCAGTTGACACGCTCACCCTGGTAGACGGGGAACTGGACGGTCTGTTGGTTGTCGGCAACAGTGGTGAATGTTCGCTTCTTGATGGTAGGGACGGTCTGACCACGGGTGACGACAGGAGCGAAGATGTTACCCTCCATGGCAACACCAAGAGATAGGGGAACGACGTCCAGCAGAAGGAGGTCGGAGGTATCAGCGGAAGTGGCCTTTCCGGAGAGGATACCAGCCTGGACGGCAGCACCGTAGGCAACGGCCTCGTCGGGGTTGATGCTCTTCTCCAGCTTCTTTCCGTCGAAGTAGTCGCTCAGCAGCTTCTGGATCTTGGGAATACGGGTTGAGCCACCAACAAGGACGATCTCGTCGACGGCGCTCTTCTCAACACCAGAGTCCTTGAGGACCTGGGCAACAGGCTCCAAGGTACCGGCGAAGGCCTTGGCGTTGAGGTCCTCGAAACGGGCACGGGTGATCTGGAGGAAGAAGTCGTCACCATCGAAGAGCGAGTCAATCTCAATGGTGGTCTGGGCACCGTTGGAGAGGGTTCTCTTGGCACGTTCGCAGGCGGTTCGGAGTCTACGAAGAGCACGAGGGTCGGAAGAGATGTCTTTCTTCGTCTTCCTCTGGAACTCCTTCTTGCAGTGATCGAGGAGGTTGGTATCGAAATCCTGACCACCAAGGTGGGTGTCACCAGCAGTAGCCTTGACGGTGAAGACACCACCTTGGATGTTAAGGAGGGACACATCGAAAGTACCACCGCCAAGATCGTAGATCAGGACATTGCGCTCCTTGTTCGACTTGTTTGAGCCGAGACCGTAAGCAATAGCGGCAGCGGTAGGCTCGTTGATGATACGTAGAACATTAAGACCAGAGATGGCACCGGCATCCTTGGTGGCTTGACGCTGGTTGTCGTTGAAGTAGGCGGGGACGGTGATGACGGCCTTCTCCACCTTCTTTCCGAGCTTGGTCTCGGCAATCTCCTTCATCTATAAGACAGGGTGTGTCAGCAATAGTCCGGAAACTCGAGATGTTGCATTGGATATGGCTGGCTTACCTTGGTGAGAACCATGGCGGAGATCTCCTGAGGGGAGAAGGTCTTGGTCTCGCCGAGGTACTCGACCTCGACGACAGGGTTGCCGGAGCTGCCCTGCTCGACGACCTTGAAGGGCCACGACTCAATATCCTTCTTGACAACGGGGTCGCTGAAAGGTCGGCCAATCAAACGCCTGTGATGGAAACCATGTTAGAAAGCGGTTCCTGGAACAATGGGTGGGTGGTTTGAGGCATCGCGTCCAATCTAGATAGAAATCTAGATAGAAAGAATGGTGGTTGACCTACTTGACATCGAAGACGGTGTTGCGGGGGTTCATGGCAGCCTGGTTCTTGGCGGCCTCACCAATCAGACGCTCCTTCTCGTTGAAGGAGACGAACGAAGGGGTGGTGAAGCTACCCTGCTCGTTGGCAATGATCTCGACATTGTTTCCCTCGTAGATGGCAACGCAAGAGTAGGTGGTACCTGATAGCCGCATCAGTCAGTCTATGGGATGTTCATGATGATAGATAGTAGTTATCGAGAATGGTATCGAGAACGGTATCGAGAACGGGATCAAGAACCGGGCGCGGGGTCGCGAGGGTCGCGAGTGAAGGGTGAGGTGAACGTACCCAAATCGATGCCAACGGCACCGTCGTAGACTTCTTCGGCCATCTTTGCGTGGAGTTTGGGGGATGTGAGAGGTGGGAGAGAGGAATGCCGAAAGACAGGAAGTTTTTGTCAAGGGACAGGAGCGCTGCGGCCAACTTATTATTTGTGCAAATGGCGCCCACTTTACGACTTTGTGCTTTGTGGAGGGGACAGCCTGAAAAAAAATTCTGCCCCTCCCCAAGCGGTGAGCGGTGAATCAAAAACCCCACCTCCGGCCTGCGGGCGGCCGCGCCGACCATTCGATAAGACACGATAAGACACGATAAGACACGATAACTGCGGGTGTTGGGGCCTTGGTAGCAGTCTCGCAGAAGAAGCCTGGCGAGCCTGGTATCAGGGTCCTCTAGTGCGAAGCATTTCTCGCAGGACGCCACCACTAGCGGGAGCGAGAAAAAAAAAAAAAGATCATGGTTCAACGACCTCTACTATGTACCTACCGTGCTCGTAGTCAGCCTGATTCGGCTGCGGCCCCGGTGAACAAATTGTTTTGTTGTTGTAGGGGTAGGGGGGCATGTTGGACCCAAATGCAGCATTTTGAAGACAATGTAGTGTGCCTAGTAGTACATGGGAAAAAAAAAATGAAACAAAACAATATGGGCATCATCAATTACTTGCTTCTCACAAGCCTTGTCTGCGCGAGGTAGCATATTGTTTCGGGCCTGATTCAGAAGGTTGGTTCCCCTTCGAATTTATTCTCATGTTCCACTTGAAGCTGACTAGCCCAGGTACAGTACATTCAGACTTAAGTAGTGGCCTCCATTCATCTCTCCACTACGTTGCTAAGTATGTAGGCGTAGGTAGGCGCTTAAGCACACATTTTGAGAATTCGATCTCGACGAGCCCGGATTTGGCCAGAGCGTCTCTCTGCCGAATCATGCCTCGTCGACAAGTGTTACAGCTGACTCATGTTTTTCTCATTTACGATTTGTTGAGGCACATTAAGCCCCAATAACCTGTCATGTTATGTTACCTTGTGGGAATGAATATATAAGACAACCAGGCTACAAGTTGAGAGACGTGCTCATATGAGTATATACTTACATGTCAATTTATGGTTTTTAGAATATGTCTCAGTCCTGTTCCGCTAGGTATTTACGTATGTCCCCGGGTCTTTGTCTTAATAAAGATTGTTACTTAGATATGGCCCCCCTCCAGACTTATAGGGGACCCGTAATAACTAGACACATCAATGCTTTAATTTCCATGACTCGAAATCAAGAACTGGCAAGCAAGATGAGATACCTCCTGCTATTTGCATTCTTGCATGTATTTCTAGTAGTAGGAGTAGGAGTACCTAAGTACAGTAGGCTAAGGGCGAAACATTAGGTACGAAATTCTCAATCCCAAGCGGCCTGATTTCTCTGGCAAAAACCCACTACAACCCTTTCTAAATAATCCTCATAGCATCAATAGTGATCAAAGTATGCATCATCTCCCCCTCATCAACTTCGTGAAATGCCTTTGACCAGGACTCGGCTTCTTGACCTTTCTAGCAGAGGCCGGGATGATATGATGGCACTGCGACCAAGGTATGCGGCAAAACTATAAACCGCGACTCCTCGATTTTTGCCCTCGAGAATAGTCTTCCCAGCACATGCATCACATCGGATCTATACTCTATTGCTTCATTGATAGATCATCATACATGATGGACATGTGCCATGTAAGTAAGTAACAATAGAATACTCCTGATGGCCAGGAAATGCTTTATATTTTCAGTTGTCGCGTATCTAGCCCTCGCCAGCACGTGTCCCAAGGAGGTATAATACTTGTACAAAAGGCAGCCAAAAAAGCAAGCACACATTGGCCGATGAGAATGACTCTCCCGCGCATTTCGCTGTAACCATATGTACCGCCCCGAACTCCAGATCCAGCAAGGAAACTTTCCTAATAGTGCAAAGTCGACGACTATTTGAAATCAGCTATGAGGTTACAGAAGCGGTTTGCTGACGATTGTAGCAGCCGGTGAAATGAGAGTCATCTAGGTTAGACTCGTTGGTTACATCTAATACTCTGAAGCGGTGAATATTGAGCTGATATAGCCCGAGTTAAACTCAACCTCGAACGCTGATGGCTTTTGGTTGAACGTCTAGTAGCGAGACTCAGGGCTCCATGCTCTGCGAAGAGATGAAAACACGGTGTCGACATTTTTCTTTTGGGAGGGGTGGGAGGCAATATACTGCTCAACAAATTCTCCCCTAGATATTTTCACGCGCAATTCGCGAGGTATCAGTGCCTGAGGAGATTCATGTGTAGAACAAACCTCTCCATCTCCATATTTAAACCATTGGGTGCTTTCTCCCCCTTCGGGAGCGCTGCAATAAGTGTCACCTCAAGACGGTTGATTCCGTACCGTAACGTAACGTCAAAAACTGGTTCCCCTCTCCTTTCATATGATGCCGACGAGGGAAACAGCCGTGCTGTGTCGTGCATCACGTTGAGCTTCCATTCACGTTGCTCTGTTTCTAAGAACGACGCAACCAGTGGCTTAAACTGCAATCGAAAGTGGCTCACTGGCATGTTAATAACAATATCCTGCTGGTATTCGGTCATACTAGCATGGAGGGTGGCTACAAGCTTGTTCTCAACTTGAGCCGAAGGATGGGTTGTAATGACCAATCTCGGCATGAGAGCCTCCCCTTCACCTACGTACGCGGTTAATGAAAGGATTGTAAATGGGAGACAAAAGAACTTACTAATCGGATGCGGCCGATACTTCTGTGCTTCTAGGATATCAGTAGCACTTCGCTTAGGAGGCGGTGGTGGAGGCGGAGGCTGCTGGTATTGTGCAGTAAGACCATTAGTTGTTGGAACGGGAACATTCGTCACCACCGGGACAAAATGCTGGAATGTCGTGGTTGTAACCTGTGGCCGAGGGACGGGTGTTGCTTGCACGTTATCCTCCGTCTTTGTCACGCCCATTACGCTCGGGCTGGGTGGGCCTACGGACGCGGACATACTCCGTGCCTTGTCTAACTGACTCAGATTGACTGATGTCCCAGTTGAACTTGCACCACCAAATGGATTTTTGTTGACAGGAGTCTCATTCCGTGTTGCCTCACTATCTCCAGACAGCCCTGTCGGCGGAGCAGGAGATCCTGCCGCACTATTTTTACCACCCACGTGGATGGTAATTTTCTTGGGGTGCCCTGGAGTCTCTGAAGCCTGCGGCACCTTTAATTTGATTTTAGGCTGAGGTGGTTCTGGCACGTTCTCTTTGGCTTCTTTAAGAAACTCATGAAACGTTTCCTAGTATAGTTAGCATATATCATTCATGGAACTGGGATTTTGAGACTGACTTCGAGTTCCTGTGCCATTGCAAAGATTTCACTGCCGTCTTCATTGTAGTGATACGCATTCTTCCATATCAGGCTTGCCTGGTCTTCGAAAGCGGCCCAGCTTTTGAAATCGCTAACCCACGTTGCTTCCAATCGACCGTGTTGGCCCCGAACCTGTTTTTGCAACGCTTTGAGTGATAAGGGTTCGGCGATAACTTCATAATAATCTCTCAAAGTACGTGGGGGGAGGTAAATGAACGGCTCGAAGTATGGATAGTCATCGCTGTGCTCCATTAGTCAATGCCCGTGTACCTCTAGTATTGACGTATGAAGAATACTTACGGATCCTCCTTCTTACGAATCAATTCTTCAATAAGTTTTTCCTGAGCCTGCTGGAAGTTGAGTTGGCTAAACGATATGTTTTCATAATAGTGGTCTGCTTTTCCAGTACGCTGAATGGCTTTCCGCCCTGGTGTTGCTGAATCTCGAGAAGGTCTGGGATCAGCTTTCCTCCATGATGATCCTCGTCGACGTCTTGGCTGAGAATCCTCATCGTTTTCCCCCTCCTCTTCCTCTTCATCCTCTTGTCCTTCATCACCGTCATCATCTGCCTCCTCATTCTCATCTCGTTCTCGTTCCCCCTCTCCTCCCTCTTCCTCGGCTTCGGCGTCATCAGCACCAGCTTTCTGTGGAGGCTCTACATCCTCAGCGATAGCCTGCGCAGTGGTTTCGCCATCTACTTCATCATCAAGCTCTTCCTGATCATCGGCATCCTCTGGTTCAGGGGTAGGCGGAAGTGGTGTAGGTACTGCTTGGTAATTGCCAGCTTTATATGCAGGATTATGTTTGACCATCAGGTTGCTGACAGCTTTGCGTACACGTTCTGCGTCGCCAAAAATGGTGGAGCTCCGATCATTCGTCTCCTTTGCATTGGAGACGAGGCGTTTGAAGTCACTCTCGAGAGAAGATAGGGTAGCGTATTGTTTGTCTTTGAGTTTGCGCTCAATTATCTCAAGTGACAAAGGCAGCCGTATCTTCTTGTAGTACTGTGGGTTTTCTGATCGTGAAGGAAGAGTTTCAAAATAGGGAGACACTGCGCGACCGCTATGAAACAAAAGACCATTAATAATAGTTCATTAAGACTTTTTCGGTACTATCCAAGATTGACCAGAGTGGTCTGGGGAGCAATGATATATAAATATCGATCTTGGTGGAGATATCGAAGCTCGTATACATACTTTTTGTCTGTGGTAGCTCTGATGGACTCGAGGATGCTTAAGCCATAAGCAGTCGTGGATTCGCTCGTCTCGCCATTTGCCAAGTCGCCATATTCCTGAACGATGTGACGGATTAGTTAAAGGGGAAACCATGTAAATGGTTGAAGTTGAAAGGGTCAGGAGCATGCGGAGATTGGGCGATAGATTCAAGTGCTCGAACGAAGTGCAAGGTGAAAGGGTCAGGTAGGTTTTTTTTGTCTGAGGTACATTGTTTGGCACCATGAGGGCATTGGGTTGCGCATTTTACCAGTCGGCTACTGTGAGTAGTCCTGCCGCTGCTGCGAATTTTCCTCAACCCACGCGCAAGTCGGAGAAGCTCGAAAACGTGGCCGGTCGCACTCGAGGAAGAAGCTTTTGTCGCAAGACATGGCGCGCTGTCGCATCGGTCGCAGCGCATCGGAAGTGTCGATGGAAGGCAAAACAAACAAGAAATGATTATGGCTCACCTCTATTAATTTGCGACGTTTCGCAGCACGATCGGTATCGGCGGTGGTCTCCAGACCGTTGGCGCCGCTCACTTTGCGCTTGCTCTCCATTGCTGGGTGCTGCAACTTGGAGTTGAGCGAGGCGCAGGTAGCGCGAAAGCTCGACGCGGTCGGTTGGGGAGGGGGGTCAGAAAGCAGTAGCGTTGCAGGGCTCTGGGAATGGGCTCAATTCAAGACTAAAGGCAACGGCCCTTGACTTCAGCTGGCAATCACAGAGCTCAGGGTTTTCATCCACCGAGAACGTGGAGAATTCGCTCGTCGTCTAAGCATACGTAGGTAAGGATTCAGCTAGTGGATAGTATCGAAGGGGGATTGATACGCCCGAGCCGGATTCAGTCAATAAGCTCAACGTGGTCCTGCATTCGAGATGGGACCAACATGCCAAGACGAGCGAGCAAGCAGAAAGACGGGACTTGAGGGCGACCTGAGGGCGACCTTTCGGTGCGCGGGTGGGCGAGCCACAATGTGGCTTGTGCAATGACAAAGCCGGGACCTCAACAAGGGGCTTGCGCAGCCGCCCGCCTCTGCCCGCCCATGCGCTTGCATTGTCTAATCGATAAACCTGCAGGAGGGGATGATATACCTGACAAGAGAATGAGACCGCTTATAAGCATAGCTTTGTTGACTTTTCCCCTCCAATAATCGTACTATCGTGATCGCCTGCGTGCTAGCACCCTCCAGCTTTTTCGATAGACAACCTAGGAAGATTGTTGCCCTGGACGCCTTTCCCACCTTCAGCGGTCTATAACGTTTCCAGGCTTCTTCTTCTCAACGCGCGCTTTCTACCCAAACAACACGAGACAGACCTGCCTCTAAGCTGACACAAACAAACGCGCTTCAACCCATCCATCTCTGATCTTGTGCACCTTGAGTAGCTTGTCGTCTTCGCGTCATCACTCCCCTCCCCCTCATAAGTCAGCTCCATAGTACGCGGGCTTCGCTCTTCCAGATCCTTCTAGGGGTGCAACCAACATCAGTTATAATTTACTGGTCCCATACCGTCGATAATTCAATCAACCGCCATGCCGCTGGACGTCGACATGACCCGTCGCAACACAGAGCCCCGGCCGCTAAAGGATAGTGAGCAGGCGCGACTCAAGGAGTTCATTGAGAATATCCATTACTCGGCTCGGTAAGCTCGCCGACTCCCTGCAGCTTCTCAATGGCCGTCCCGTTGCTAACTTGCGCGTGTAGCTATTCAGATGACGAATACGAGTACCGACACGTGCAGCTTCCCAAGGCCATGCTCAAGGCGATTCCGAAGGAATATCACGACACATCCAAGGGTACTCTAAAGTTGCTATGGGAGGACGAGTGGCGCGCAATGGGTATTACTCAGGTAGGTCGAACTCTTGTAACAGCTTGCCCAGGGGATAAGACGGACCTAAACTGACGGGGTGGCACACAGAGCCTGGGTTGGGAGCATTATGAAGTACACGAGCCCGAGCCACATATCCTTCTTTTTAAGTGAGTGTTGTAGTGAATCCATCCATCTCCGCGCTCATGATAGCTAATACAACACGTCAAGGCGCCCGCTTAACTTCCAGCCGTCGTAACGGCTTGTGCAACGACACACTTGCGAGGCAACGGCTTCCGTGACGCCTTCTTCGAATACTTCTATCTACCCTCTACTGCATAGCGCTGTCGCATTTGATATTGATATGGGTTTATTTCTTTTTGGACGACTAATGATGACGGCACTTTTCAACTCATCGACTGATATGTCCCGCATGAGTCTTGACCGACTCGAAAGCTCTGACCGATCTCGGCGCGAGTGGGGGTTTTGGCTGTTTGGTTTCTTGTCGCCAACGCATCAGTCGTCATTGACGAGTTATACGTCACAGGACTAATGGAACTTGGCATCATATGAATCTGGGTACAGTGTACGGGCGTTACCAAGCTTGCCTGGCCTTGTTTAGAGATTCACGCTACACGATAAGGCGGAGGAGTAAGGATTGGCCAGAGATGACAGTGCACTGTAGCTCATCAGCGCTCTCCGCATGCCTGCCGAACTCGGTTAATAGCCTTTTGGCCTACTTTATAGTGGTATATATAAATAACGCCCCAAGGGCGGGAAATGAATGAAAATGAATAATGCATGATCGTACATAAGTATTCTCGACGGCCAGTTCTCTTGTGAAGGTATGTGATCATGTGATTCATAGTGTTTTCTAATCTGCTGCGACCAAACAACTTGCGCAAGACGAAAGGGATGTCTACTGGAACAAAGGCATGGAATTCGGTAAGTTGGTACGCAACGGCGGCCTAGGAAACAAAACGCCAGCGTCAGCGCCAGCGCCAATCAGGAAGGGTATGAGACGTCTTGCAATTGACCAATCCCACATGCTTGACGGGACATATGCAACTAAATATGTACCTACTGCTCCTAAGGCGTGGCATGTCCTATGGGAACAATTCCAGGTGTTGCAAGTCACACGACCAGCAGCAGCAGACCGGGGAACAACAGCATGCCCTGCTTGCTGGAATTGCAACAGGTGTGCTCGACGCCGGGTGCCGTTGTGCAGTCAAAAGCCTGCCGGGTGTGCGAGTGAGCGAACCATGCTATTGAGAAGCAGTCAAGTGGAAAGGGTCTTTGAAAAGATACCTAGGCACATGTAAGTACGGAGAAGGGTCTTAAGTAGGTAGGTAGACTGACTACTTGATCAACTTGCCTGATGATCAGCCCAGCTGGTCCTGGACTGGATCCGTCCAACTTGTCAACGTCCCGTCTTACCGTTGCCGAGACCAGCCACAAGCAGCTCTGGCTCGTGCTAGTGTCGAACCACCTTGCTAGTATTCGCCTCGTATGACGTTGGATTGTTCGATTCCTATAAAACCGACTGCATGTACTCTGGTAGGTAGTTGGAGTTTTAGTGTGTCCCAAATAGTTACATAGTACATAGTATGTGCCTCCCCCCCATTATTAATGTAAATTGGCGGAGGCTTTGAAAAGAACACGTTGTAAGTAGGTAAGTAATTTGTTTCTGATTCTTTCCGAAATAGCCAGCGCCACATGGAAGGAAATAAGCAGTGTTGGTAGATTTACATTATAAATCTTGTACACCAGACCCTGTCTTGTGTAAGCAGGTAAGACGGAAACCCAGAGTAGGCTACTTACATACTTCGTAGCTATATAGTATTGTAGATAGTATTGTATATGCTTCGTTGTCCCGCATCTCTGGTTCAACGCTCGACTCAAGTGGTGTTGTTGTTAACCTCTGCGCATCGTATCGACATTGGCAAATCAATGCGCCGAGTTTAAAGTTACCTAGCTTGAAGTACAGTACCCGCTCGCATCTACGCGAATCAAAATTAACAAAGTGGCAATCCTCGATCCTACCTACCTACTGTACGGCGTAATACATCATCACACTCTGGCCATTCGGTGCTTCCACATGGTCCATTCCCGTCTGCTAAGTTCTTAGCACATCCAAAATCTGGCTAAATCCAAATTCCCATAAACCGGACACTTCACCCACCTTCTCCTTGCTACCTAGGCACTTGTCCTAGCACATACCTGGGACAATTGTCGACCGTGCCGCCCCTCTCCCGTCTCGTCTGCAGCTCTGCATTTGCCGAATGCAGCAGGAACGTAACATTGGTCGCGACCCATACTACCTTTGCTCTCCTTGTCGCCCGTGCTTGCTACAACGACACGCCGAGTCTCGATAGTATAGTCGGTTGTCGGTTGTCGGTTGAGTAAAGTGTCCATAAGTGCTGCGACCCCGTCCACGCACCGTCATGCCGTCTGCTGGGAAGCTCTTCTTCCTGACTGTATTTGCGCTCTGGGCTTCACCTGCGCTCTGCAAGACTACCACCCAAGGAGAGCAAGATGACTCTTGTGCAGTATGTTGTTCCCGCTGCTCTCTATAATTTCTCCATTCCTCTTTCTCCTTGCCATCACGCCGACCATTGTGGCGACCATTGCGCCGTCGCGTCTCCACGGCCACCTGTTTAACCATGCCATTTACCAGTTCTCACCCGAGTCCATTGTGAGCGACGCTTGCGTTTCCTACCAGACCCTCGAAAGCCTCAACGAAAAGGTGAAACCCGTCGTCGACGAGCTCACCAGAGAGTCCGACTTCTTCTCATATTACCGATTGAACCTATTTAACAAGATATGTCCGTTCTGGAACGACGAAAATGGCATGTGTGGCAATATCGCATGCGCCGTCAACACGATAGACAATGAGGAAGACATACCCAAAATATGGAGGGCGAGCGAGTTAGGAAAGCTACAGGGCCCATCCGCAAAACATCCAGGAAAGAAGGTACAGAAGGAGAAGCCACGGCGACCTTTACAAGGATTGTTGGGAGAAAATGTTGGCGAAAGTTGCATAGTGGAGTATGACGACGAGTGTGACGAGCGAGATTATTGCGTGCCGGAGGACGAGACCACGAGCTCTAAGGGCGACTACGTGAGCTTGGTCCTCAACCCGGAGCGATTCACTGGCTTCGCTGGCCAGGGCGCCAAGATGGTATGGGATGCGATATACAGGGAGAACTGTTTCCAAAAGTCATCATTCCCGCAGTCGGCCTCCTTGGGCATGTCCTCGCTACTCCAGGGCCCAGCCGCCCAAGATTTTCGCAACGTTCTTCAATCGGCAGAACGACAACAGATTATTGAGCAACACCAAGACCCTAGTACATCTTTTGCACAGACTGGCCTGGAGAACGAGGACGAATGCCTTGAAAAGCGCGTTTTCTACCGTGTTATATCCGGCATGCATTCCAGCATCAGCACTCACCTTTGCTGGGACTTTCTCAACCAAACCACAGGCGAATGGCAGCCAAACCTGAAGTGTTACACCGATAGGTTGCTTACTCATCCTGAACGCATCTCGAACCTATACTTCAACTACGCCCTACTCACTCGGGCCGTGGCGAAGCTGGGCCCTTATCTGCAAGGTTATACATTTTGTATGGGCGAGCCGGATCAAGATGCTGCCACGAAAGCCAAGGTTCTTGAAGTCACGGAGGCAGCGTCATCTGTTCCCCAGATATTCGACGAAAGTCTGATGTTCAAGAATGGTGAAGGCCCTTCTCTGAAAGAAGATTTCCGAAATCGCTTCCGAAACGTGAGCCGCATAATGGACTGTGTCGGCTGCGACAAGTGCCGGCTTTGGGGTAAATTGCAAACTTCGGGCTACGGCACGGCGTTGAAAGTTCTTTTTGAAACAGACAACGATAGCGGTGAGGTTCCCGAACTCAAGCGAACAGAGCTGGTCGCTCTATTCAACACATACTCGCGACTCAGCAGCTCAGTAAGAGCGCACCACCAATTTCGAGCAATGGCCCAGGCTGCGAAGGCCGGGGAACCGATAGAAGTAACACCGATCCCAGATCGCGCAAAGAAACCACATGCCGTCAAACACTCACCAGAGCCACAGACGAACCCTGAACCTATCAAGTCAGAACCCAGTACGGCTAATGAAGAACTCGTGTTGGATCCCGAGTCTGATTTTGATATTGATGACTTTGACGAAGCGGATATATCAACTGGAAAGGAAACAGGAAATGCGAAAGAGCACTTTTGGCAAGAGTTGAAGGCGGTCATGAAGGCCACCAAAATAGTCGTAAAGTTATGGCTTGGGTTCCCCAAACTACTGTAAGTTTGCCATTTCCTCATCATCAATCCTAACTCCCATGGTTTTTCAACTAATGCAAAATTCGATGTTCTAGCCTCAAGATCATGCTCTTCGAACTCAACCGTTTCTGGGAGTTCTACATTGGACTTCCGGTGACGCCGCGAACTTGGCATCTAGAACGTCCAAGCTTCGATGAGCTATAGAGTTTCCATCTTTATTTCTCTTTTGCTTCTCTACTCCATTTATTCCACTACTTTTTTTTGCCCTTTTGCTTGCATAGATATAGGCGCACGTTATGTTTACTATTCATAAAAAGAACGAAGAGATCGTGAGTTATAAATTCTTGTGGGATTTTGATTGCATTGTTTGGAAACAGGATATATAAAGAAAGACTACTAGCGAACTTTTTTTTGTTTGCTCGCCTGTTGGTTCCATATGGAACTCAATATTTAGAGAGCTATGTTGGGTCTTTCGAAATCGCTACAAACCATAACGATGGAGTTTTAATAGGCGTTCCGGAAGGGGGCATGGAAAATGGTGTTTTGTCTTCTTCAAATATTCTTCTTATTTGTGCCTATTACACTTGTTTATATTTCAATGCAGTATAAACTACCTCTTAGCCAGTTACAATTATATAGCATCGGCTGGCTAGCTTTGCCCCCTGGCAGAATTCGTACATGGAATGATGTTTAGGTTTTATTCATGCGTGAATCAGAAACGTTACAGCCCCAGTGGGCGATTCTGCAAGTCTCTAAAATCCAGTAAATGTTACGCCCTGTAATGCTTAAGAAGGCTTACATGCCAAACAATCCACGACTCCCACCGTCATCCCTCCGATTCCTCAACGGGATATGCGTCACGATATTCCCGATCTTGGCCTTGATGCCCTCGACACGAACGCGCATGGCTCGCACTGCGTCTCCCATCGTTTTTGCACATTCCGGCGCGTGGACGTCAGCATCGGTAGTAGAGATGGTGTAGGCCGTGTTCAACACCTCTTCTGTGAGACGCCGCAGGTCGGCGCTCGGCAAGGCGAAGGACCATGCTATGGAGATGTGGAAGGCGCCGTCCAGCGTATCCTCTTGGTTGCTGCCGCTGTCGTTATCAGAGGGTTTGGCCCAAGCGTATAGAGGCGGCTGGTCGAAGGCTGTTGCGATGGCGTTGGTGTGGCTGAGAAGGGATGAGAGTTGAGGGTTTGAAGATTTGGGAGGGGTGGTCCTAGGAGGGCTGGGGGGGTTCGTATTTTGAGTGTCATCGTTGTCATTCTTATTAGTAACACTCTTCTCATCTATTTGTTTCTCGGGCTTGCTGAGATTGTGGGGCTTGTTGGCGGGATGGGAATGATGTGACGAGCGGCTGCCAACCCGCAGGACGAGAAACGACCGCGATGACTCTTCTGTACGGTGCCATTGGAGACCTAATGGTGAGAGCTCGAAGGGCGCGATCCCGCTTGTGCGGATGCGCGATTCGAGAGAGGATAGGAAAGCGTCTTTTTGCGACGTGCTTAGCACGATCGGGCGTGAGAGGCTTATGTGTAGGGGTTGAGGAGCGCCGAGGTCAGAGGTGAGGAAGGTTGTTATAGAGGTGTGATGGGGTGAGGGTGAGGGTGAGGCGGCATTGAGATTGCATTGGAGGGTGGAAAGGAGGGTGGTGAGAGTCGCCCGCTCTGTTGATGTTGGGTGCCCTGTCCTTCGTCAGTTTACATCTCTGAAAGCCTCGTTTTACTATCATGAAGAGTGTCGTGTACCAAGATGCTCTCTATGTGTTCAGACCCGTATACATGAAAATGGAAATGTATACAGTGAGAAGCAGAGCTTGTGAGATGGATGAGAGAAAACTCACACTCGATGTACAAGTGACTGGGCCAATGCCCGACCTTGTGAGGATTCACGCGCTTCCGACCCTGGTGCAGCGTCGGGTCATCGTTTGCGCTGACGCGCACGGTGGATGCGTATAAATCGTGAAAGGCGGATGGAAGAGGTGGAAGCACGTCGTTTGCTGTGTTTCGAGATGCACCGTCATCTGATGACGTTTTTTGTCTCTTCACGCGAGGGCTACTAGGAGCTTCTTCTGACTCGTCTGAGTCCGAATAATCTACAAGTCCCATTTCTAGATTCTATCTCTATCCATGTGCCGCTGACTCGGGTCTGTGGCATAGTGAATGTATTTATATGTAGGTAGAGATATCAGTTGTCAGAAATTCATCTGGACATATCCCTTTTGGCCAGATGTATTGCGCGGAGTTGTAGGTGATCTCCCCTGTACAGTAGTCCATGCATTGTGGGCTTAGGTGGACGCTAATTAGGGATGGGTTGCGGGGACTAGCTGAGCTGCAGGCCGTCACACTTTAAAGAGCACTTTCTTCTATATTAATTTACCTACTACGTATCACTGATCTTATTAGGAGTTCGTGCCAAGCTTGTGTATGATTTTCTAGAATTGCATTGATACGTCAAGCTGGATAAGCCAATATTTTTCGGCTCTCAAACCGGTGAAGTCTTCATGTCTGGCTTCGAGACTTCGAAGTTGGTCCATTGAGAATAGCATAAACACATTCCCATAATGGGAATCCCATTACGGAACATAAAATTGATTGGCTTTCCGTAGGATCATGAACTCAAAGCCTCAAGCGCTCTGCTTTACGTAGTCGGCCCTCAAACTTGTAGAAAATGATGGGCAATGGAATCATGGCAATACAGATAAACCCGAGCAATGAATTATCCCATCCGAGACCAAGAGTGTCATATAACGGCGGCCCTGCCAAAGGAAGCAGGGCTCCTACTGTACTTCTGAGGATGATGTTCGCGGCACTCGCTGACGCCGAATACATCGGGTACCTATCGACGAGATACGTAGTGATAGGCAAGAAGAGTCCCATAATGCCAAAACCGTACGGGGTCAGAGAGAGCAGCGTGGATGCCCAATGATTCTTGTTAGCGGCACTCCAACCGTACCAGAACAGGGTCACCGGAAGGAAGATGCCGAAGTATATACTGATCATAAGGCGCATTTCGGGCTCGAAGTGACCATCGTTGGCCTGGGCTAGACGGATAATGGTTCTGTCTGGAGGAAGGTGCAGACTAACCATCCCAAGATATTACCCAAGCCAAGAGAGAGATACACGAGCCCTGTTAGATCGACGTTGAATCCATATGTTTTCTCAAACACAGCCGGGATTGTCGTGTAAAGGAGGTAGACGGTTCCGAAGACGAAAGCAATATATAACGAGAGAAGCAACACTATGGGAGACAGAACAAGCATTTTCAATGGCCTTATTAAGCCAGTAAGTATGATTCTGCTTGTACCTTGGCCATTCGAGTTATCATAGCAGCTCTTGAGGCTAGCTTGTCCAAGCTCTGCTCTAAGCAGCACTGTCTTTCTCTGTATTAAGACTTTATGATTGGTTTCTCTTGTTATCATTTGGATCAGAATCGTAACTAGTGAGGAAGCGGCAAACACAATCCAAAAGTCATATCGCCATCCTGGGAACTTGGTTAAGAAACCCCCGATCACAGGCCCAACAGTTGGACCTTAGAGTGGTTAGCTAGGGACGTTGGGTAGCACATAGCAGCTCGATTTCGTGAGAAATCGAAAGACTAACCGAGTAAGGGCCCAATGTTCCATACACCTATCGCAAAACCTCGCTGATCTGGGCGAAAAAGATCGCCAACAATGACACCGCCGAGCGTCTGAAGTGAGATTAGTACACCGTTTTGTACACATAATTAGTAACTGCACTCACCAAGCATCCAGCTCCACCAACACCACTGAAGAAACGAGAGACAATGAGGGTTTCGATATTAGGGGCTAAGACGCATCCGATCTGCCAAAGACAGAAGAAGACGTTGGCGGCGGTTAAGACGGGCTTGCGCCCATATATCTCCGAGAGGCAAAGGGGGTTAGCAGCGTTATGACAGACAGCAAGCCCACCCACGTCCATTTATCCCGCGACGAGAAATTCAAGGGCATCGCGGGGTCCTCTTGACTATCCCAACCTACGATATTCTCGTCAAGATTGGTTACTGGGAGCGTTTCATATCGTAGTTTTGTTCTCTTCATTTTTTGCATCATTGAGTTGAGGGTCGCTGAGACCCCCAGAATACTCTGTGTCCCATCGAGTGACGTCCCACGGTCAATGGCAGCCTAGAGAAATTATTTGAGTCACAGAGCAACTGCGATGAGGTAGAATTCTGTTACATGTTGAATTTCAAGGTCTACCTCGTAACTATTTCCTGCTGATTTTTCATGCTCATGGCGACTGACAGGCGGTATGGTTCCCATAGCTATTGATATTATTTTCAACAAGTATTGTAAACATCAACTTTCAAACTTGGGCAAATGAAGTCGTCTAAAAACACACAAAATCCAATAAATCAGCTTAGACATAGAATAAAGTAAACAATCTTGGCCGACTTAACAGGAAAGAGGGGAAGAAGGCACCCCCTGGTGATTGTCGATGGCAGCCTGTTACCTAGTCGGTCAGTGAATGCAAGCGAGTGCGAGTCGCAGTTTAACACCGAAAGCAGATTGGAGGCATTGTGTCTGCGGAACAGCGACATCACTTATTTGGAAGGCCAATGCGATCATGGCCAGGCCAGCCAAGTATGGTAGAAGCGGAGTTCACATAAGTATTCTAATAGTTGTTGGTGCCTGGCAGTTATTCGACCTGCAGTAGTTTGCTGCGTGTTCAACGACCGCCAGGGGTCGGGCAAGTATCATTGTATTCCGCGGTTGCAACGTGGGCCATACTTTGCTTTATGTATGCGCTCCAATGGTGAGCTGGAGCATACCGCTTCTTTTCAAAGACAGTCTGCATATGGAGTATTCAAGAGGTATTCTTGAAGAACTCGAGGTCCGCTATTTGATTATATAAGCATCAGCTGCAGCAACCTCGACCAGCTGTCAACCAAATTGTGCACGTATCGCGTAGGATTTCTACGTGAATGACAACAGCCCAACCGCTCAGCTAAACTTCTAGTTCTTAATAGTCAAATTGAACAATAATTTTTCAAACAGCTTGTACTGTGAAGAAGCGAACACGAGTAATAATCTTGTGAGTACCTGAAAGAAAGTGATCCTGCTTGCGGAATCCACGGCACAGCATAGGTACTTACATGGCCACCCCCACACCTTGCTCCAGTATCAGCCGTAATAGTACAATTCAATACCTTGATGGCTTACGACAGCTCTCATACTACTTGATGATAATTACTACCATAGGTACAGTAGGGCAGAGCTCTGGGCAGAGGTTGGGGGTTATCAAAGAGATGAGATGTTGATCCCTGCATCAATGTTGCGTCACTGGGCAGGGCAGAGCCGCCTGTGGGTCAACCGTTCTCGGCGCAAGCCACTTGACGCGCATTCCCGACCTCGACAATTACATCATACCCTAGCGTCCAGTTCCAGCTCAGCTATGATGATGACGGATTGGCTTTTACACTACTTACAAGACCAGACACAGCCGATGCCCGGGATGGGTGGATAGGGTATGATAACATGATATAGGTACCTACTTACTGTAGGTAGATTCTGGTAGATACCTACATATGGAGTCCCGACGCGAAGCTGTGTGCGACAAAGCAGCGAATCGGGTGACGATGATCGGAGCATCTCCTACGTAGACAGGTTTCCAAGCTATTAGGGTCTTTGTATATGATCCCGATGCTACCTTCTGCTACCTTCTTTCTCGTCTCCGTCTCCCCTGTCTTGTCGTGCCTGAGAAAACAGTTCATCTGATCAATTGTATCCACACGAGCTCACAATAAAATATAACACCCATAGACAGCCCTTGACCACAGGTTCTCACCTACCTATTTAATTAACTTCAAACAAATCACCAGCATCCCAATTCTCACCAAAACCAAAACCAAACCCCTCATCTTCCAACACCATATCAATCAGTAACTACACAAATCCCACAAAACCAAAAATGTCCCTCCCCCGTCCCCTAGAGCAAATAAAGCGCGAGACCAAACTCGCCAACCGCTCCCCTCACCTGCGCAAAGCGAACCAGCCGCGCCCCGACCAAATCGACTCCCTAGACAACGTCGTGCCAGGCGGCATCTACCACCACGACGGGCCCTACGACGCAACGCTAGCCTCGCGCAACCAAGACGCGCGGTACGCGCCCCTCGCGGCCGTGAAAGAAGGCAACAGGGAGGCCTTGAAAGCCACGCCGGCCGTCAACGTCGTCGACAGCGTGACGAAGCATGTCCCGCTCCAGGGCACGGCCATCATCCCTCCGGGCGCCGTTGATTACGAAGGGAATGTGATGGATTACGAGGAGGGCGCTGATATCATGCGCGAGCCTGACGCCGCGGGCGGTGCGTATAAGCGGTATGAGCACGTCGTAAGTAATTAAAGTAAAAAAAGACGAGAACAGATATGTCATCGGGGTAGTAAGAATTACGTAACTAATTATCGACATATAGCAATACCACCCCAGCGACCTGAAAGGAAAAGGCGAGCCCGCGTACACGATTGAACGAGATCTCAAGACAGGCAGGAAAATGAAGGACTGATTAAACAGGGTTTCAAATGCGCAATGGTGAAAGGGAATACTGGTAATATGTTTAAAGCGTTTATGTTTATCACTGGCGTTACGGTTCTTCTTTTTTAAGCGGAGATTGAGATGTAGCTTTCAGAGTCCCGGGTAGTTTAAGGCAGGGCTAATCCACATTCACATTCGGATTTTAAAACAAGTGAAAGTAAAGAAAAATTCGTAATCACTGTTCTAATGAAGGTTATCCTCATACTTTTCAACAAGTTAATGATACATGGCGAGGAGAAACCCACCGCTCCTAACTCCTTGGCTCTTCCCCTTTTCCAACGGCCGACTACAAGACAAGACTGGCACGAACTTCCATTCCTGAATTCGGGATCCCTGCCACAAGGCCAGTACTGATCTACTTTATACGCGCGCAGGAAATTATTAGATGTACCCCAGCCCACTCGTCCCCAACACTTCCCTGAGCACTTCCCGAGCCTCATCTACGCCAGCGAACCCGACGCGTCCCGCAATCTCGGCTTTGCGGCCGGCGCCCAGCTCGTTCCATCGTGCGAGAAGTGCACCGTCAATAATGCTTCGTCCCACGTTCGCGTCGACACCTGGCGGGGACCGTCCCATAGTGCCGGTCGTCAAAGGAGCACGGTAGGCTTTGGGGTTGAGGGCCGCATGTTGCGGCAATGAAGAGATGAGCTGTCCACATAGGAGAGAGAGCCGGCGATACTGTGGCTCAGATATCGGCGAGAGTGTGGCAAGGACGCCGCTTGGCGAGCTAAATAGGATTGTTGATGCACTATGCAAGTGTCTCGCTGACGAGTCTCCGTCCGACTGATTCTGAAGGAAATAGTCCGACGTAGCCGGTAATGTCCGTGGTAGTTGCCTGCTGCGAGTTGGTATATTGCCGCCAGTGGAGAAAGAAGTACGATGTAGCAGCAGGTGACCTTGGAGCGATTTGGGATCTGCTGATGGTTAGCTAGGCGCCCAAGAATGTTTGAGCAAACAAAATTTAAAAATCAACTCACGTTCCGGGTTGTATTCTAGTATATGAATACCGCCATCTGCATCGCAAGCCACGATGAAAAGGTCATCCTTATCAGGGAGGAAATCGACAGTAAGCACCTCGAATCTGGTTGCACTCTTTCCATAGAGTGTCATCCGATAAGGCTCCTCTGTATAGCCGGTGAACCAGACACCTTGGATGGCATCAGCCATGAGGCAAAATCCAGTACTCTTTAACTCCCGAACTGCCGTTACATAGCAGGTCATATCCATAAACGCAACCGGCAGCAGAGAACCATCCTCTTTGAGGCCTCGTACCATACACTTCTGACCTTGTGCAACAAGCATGAGTCCTTGCGTACCGATTTCGGAGAGTGCTGTTACCGCGCCGCGTGGAATGTCTTCTCTTGCGATGAGCTTTAGTTTTTTGTCCGTCTCCGGCCGGCCAGGCTGGGGGATAACGGCCACCACATCATATACAAGAACTCGGCCCTTAATTGGTAAGTCCTCTCCGCGAGAAATAGCAGTTCCAACAACGATGAGATATTTCCGCTCGTTTGTTGACTCCGAGACCTCTAGGTGAAGCGCTTCAACGCACATGACTCTTTCAAATGGCTCCATCTCAACTGTGTCGATTTCTGTCCATGTTAAAGGGTTAATAAGTTTGATGAGCCCATGTGTGACCATGGGCTTCAGACGAAGATCCTTCTCCAGCTGCCATTCCTTATGGTAGTCGTCATCTTTAGGCAACTCAAAAGGGACCTTGGTCCCGCAACCAACGACGAACGTTCCTGAAGGGCTATGAACGGCAATGACATGTGTGTCAATGTTTAAGGGAAGTTTCCGCAGAGGCATACCGATTGCAGCATAAGTCGTGTTGCTTGCTGAGAGTTGACAGACTCGTGCGATACCACGAGAATCCGCATAGATGAACCCTCGCTCACAGCCTTCCGTATGAAACGAGCTCATGCCGCGTACAGCGCATCCTTGAAGCCCGATGACTTTTGGTAGCGTCTTGGAAGATTTGAGAATGAAGTGTGGGGAGTCGCCAGGCAGAAAAATGGTCTTGTACCCAGCTATGTTGCCGGATTGACGCATTGGGTACGTCCTTTGCCCTTCAACGTCGTCCTCTGTAACCGTTTCCGGGTTGTTTGCTATGGTGGAATTTGGTAGCTTCAGAAAATGTAACACCTGAGAAAGCCCTGTGGTAGGTTCGGAAATGCTTCGAAACGGTTCATATATAGCCACATCATTTTGATTGTTTCGAGTCTAGATTATGTGAGTAGATGCAATGATATGCGGCCGCCCAGGGAACTTACGACGAGGTAGGGATAAGAAGATGTGTTGTCACCCAGATCAGCAACCAGAATCTCCTTGAGACTCTCCCGGGATGTGCCACGCCTCGCTGCATAGTCTGCAGAAAGAATTGGAGGCAAGTATGACAATCCTTCAGCAATATATATAGGTGCCGTGAGATCAGGGAGAGAGTATATCTTTTACACTGGTGTTAGCACATTTCCGTAGACTTCCAACGGTTGACGTACATGAAGGGCGCCGGTCTTGCTTAACAAGAACATCACTATGTTCTCTCCCGAGTTTGTGCCTTTATCACTTGAAGTCTTTAAGAAAACACCATACTTGTCTTCGTAAAGACACCCTGTTATCCATTTTTTAGAAGCTAATGAGGTGTCGTGCTTCTCGAGCTCCTCTAATTCTAGGTCATTGTCCATTTTCGCAATAAGCACGCTTGCGTCGTCTCTAACAAGCAGCATATAAGGGTCGGCTATACTAGCGTAGTCGATTCTTGGTTCTGCCCCGGTTTCTTCGTCTAGCATAGGTAATATCTGGCTAAGCCCGAAATCTACCGCGGTGCGTTAGTATCTTTGTGGAAATTCGGGACTCTTTTCGTACCTCCATCGTAGCAGTGAACGGCAGTCTTTAGAACTTGAATTATCCTCATATGCTGGCCCATAGTACCGGCCTCGATCGTGAAACCAGCCGCTGGGTCAAATTCAGTGCCTGTTAAAGCTTCAAATCCGGCCCCCGTTAAAGCATAGATATCCGATGTTTCATATCCGTCCAGATCCACCTTTGAGACGATCATAAATTTATCATACTGCGCTGAGGCGTCATAGTCGGCTCCTAAGGTGTTAGTACCCCTGTCGCCCTGTAATGATTTGGGTATGGGCTTTTGTGCAGCAACTGTCCAGAACCCCCTGGCCTCTGGGAATTCGAACCGTCCAATAACTCTAGGTTGAATAGCTTTGTTTATTATGGAAATCGAGCCGGCGTACCCCTTTCCCGTGGCGCAAACAAGGCTAAGGTCACTCGTTACGCCCTCTTGGGTCGATTGTTCTTCACCTTTGGATCCAGATGTTGGACCAAGGGCGAAGTCACGAATCGGGGCGATGCTGACAAGGGAATCATGTATACGAAACACAAGTTCGCCGGATCGTCCCCCTTGGCCATCGATGACATCTGAGGCTTGTTTCGCCGGCGCGGACTCTTCTCCATACAAATCATCATCATCTTCCATATCCTCTAGGTCTTCATCATCCATGTCGAGATCAAGAGAAGTATCATGGACCCGACGCCTTCGCTTTTCCGATTGGCTTTGTTTTCGTGTCCAACCAACAACTAGAGAATCGGATTCCTTGCTTCCAACGAATAATGCACTTCGGCCAAGCTTGCTGAGAGTTGATACACGTGTTGGAACGATGTTTCCGCCAGAATCCGGCCCAACCATTTGAACGCTCAATCCCGATACTGTACGGCCATCAATCCTAAAAGTGATAAGCGCTAAACGCCCGTCATTGAGCACCATCAAGAGTTCTCCATTTTCGGCAGATACGACCTCAATCTGACAGCCTTCTAATTTGAGCTCAAGCTCGGACTGATCAACTAAGCTAAATGACGTGGCCAGCTTTGAGAAAGAGTTCACCCCAACGCCGTGGGTTTTCCCAGACTGGTCAATATGAATCAATTCATTTGCTCCGATCAACAAAGCACCACCGACCGGCGCAGGGAGCGCAAGCACGCGGGATAGATCTTGTGGAAGCCCATTTACAGAAAGTATTGTGGTCGACGCCCTTTGCTCCAGGTCGAGGGTGAAGACCTTATATGACAATGAGTCTTTTCTTTTAAGCACCAATGACGGTGCGGCGGTTGAAGAGAGGATTCCAAATGTAGGCTCTCTATACTCATGTAGAAAGGCAATATGCACAGGATGGATGAGACTGGGATCAAGATTGGGCAGGCGTAAGACAAATGAAGTTGCAAACGATGTCTCTTGTTTGTTGCTAGTACCACTTCCGAGCGTGGTAGACGGCTCTTTGACCGGGCGAGGGCCATCAAGTTCCTCGTCCCAATCCTGCATATCTACATCCTCCTCGTGTGATCTGAATTGAATAATCGCAAGGTTACGCAGCCCAAACTTCAGGGCAGCACACCTGCTTCCCGGATCTGCAATAAGAAAGTTGACATAGAAACTCAACGGCATAGCCCAGGGGGCACTTTGTAAATCCTCTTGTTCATAGTAGTGTACCGAGATTGTTCGCATTGCATGCTTCACAGGGTCCCATTCGATCAAGCTTACTTTAGCATCCTTGAACGCAACCAGGAGAGCATCCCCTCCAGACAACGAAGGCGGGTACTTGACTCTCGCAAGCCCGGTCACTGTTCCAGCGAGCGCAAACTCTGCGACGAGGACAAGCTTGGTATAATGTGAGCGATCGGACCGAATGAGGGCTGAATCGGCACCAAGGAAAGAGGCTTCGAGTCCATCGTCATCGTTGATACGCGTGTCGTAGGGCTGATCGGTAGTGGATGACTGTAGCTGGGAGTTCTGGGCATTATCTAGCTCGGCCGACACCGACTTGGTCGTAAAGATCTGGATGAGAGAATACTTGGCAACAACGAGATTGTTGCTTTGGGCCGAGATAAAGTGCAAGCTCAGAGAATGCGTGACGGCGGTGGGAGGCGTCAACTCCGCGTAGCACTGCATGTTGACTGTTGTTGGCGCATTTCACTACGTATACTCGGTCAATGGCTAGCTAGACCAGCGATGCGCGCAAGATACAAGGGCCAATGTTGGAATACTCGCTACGTATGTCGATATATAGAGCCTGTTGTTGGCGCAAAACGCGTGTTGACGATATTTGATGCTCCAAGAGCTCCAGCTCTGGGCTCCGCTTCCCATTCCATCCACACCTCACCTCGCAGTAGGTCTTCACATGTGCTGGACTTATCGGGTTTCTGATAAGGGGCGATCGTACCTTACATAGGTACAGTTAGTACAAAGGACCTCACCTGCAGCGTTATCGCCATCCTTTTAATTGCATAGACGAGTATACCGCTCTAGCAAATACATGTTATGGTATGCCTAGTATGTACAACCTTGGAACTAACCAGGTGATCCCGTCAGGCCAAGTCCGCCTCATCCGTCCATTCTCTATGTGAAATGGTAAACTTGGAAGCAGACATTAGGTATCACGGTACCGACCTATATACAGGCATTAAACTCTGGCCTGGAGAAGATGATGGATTTCTCCCGGAATTGAAAGTGCGATAACCTACCGTCGTTCTATGTCAAGCTTCTATCTATCTGCCCAACTTAACCCCCTAATTTACTGGGTATAGCACCACGTCATGGTGAATCGAGGAGAGCTGATACACGAGGCCAGCCCTGAAGATCGATGAGAGTTTCACACATGCTCAGTCTAGGGTCCTTTGGTTTTCATTCAATATATCTTCTAATTCCATTATCTCATGAATAGACCATTGATGTCTGGTATCATCGACCTTACCCTCATCCAAGGTCGTTGATGCATCATTCTACACCTAATCAGCATCCTTCTCATCACCACTCTCGCACGTTACTGTTCTCTTCCTTATAGATTTATTAAGGCAGCACCGAAATGCCTTCAGCTTCTTACTTTCGTTTCTTTGACCTACCAGCAGAGCTGCGGACCAATATCTTGTCTTATCTGCTGATTTCACGATACGGCATCGTCCTCTATAACTGCACCCTGTTCGGCCTCACGGCCACTGATAGGGTAACATTCTTGTACATCTTTCTCGTCAATGTACAGATGTATCAAGAAGCGTCTGCTATATTCTATTCAAGGAATCGTTTCATACTCAATGGCCAAAGCCACCGATTGCCGGGACACCTCACGAAAGCCGGTGGTTTTTTGAGTCCACAGGGGCGGGATGCTAGACGAAGAGTTCAGACTCTTTCTTTGTATTTGACTCGAGTTGGTGGCGAGTTCGAGAATGTACTAGCACCTGCTATTTCCGATAGTAAGTGTGATGCCGGGGCTATTATCGTTTCCCAATCAGGGTTAAGAGGGGACAAACTACCCTCTAGCTCGTAGCATGCCCTCAACACTCTCAGTGATTTGGATCACCTGAAAATACCGGCGAAGGTGGCTATAGCTGACTGTGCCGTAGTGATCTTATCTGGTAGCTTGCGCAGCTTAAAGATATGCCTTGGGCCACCAAGTTCACAACATGCCAGAATATCCGGTCCCAATATCAACATAATGACGACAGTCCCTTTTCAGGCGCTCCTGGATTTGTTAGCTGACCCAGATCTACAGCATGTCGAACTGTGCGTTTGGAAAGTCCACTGGAGCATCTTTTGCCGTTTTCATGAGAACTTAGAAGCGTCAACCAAAGAAAAGACCTCGGAAACGGTGGATGACCATGGCCTTGCCACAATTCGCGGTCATCCAGACTGGATCCAACTTGACTGGCAGGCAATGATAGAAAATTTCAGGGCAGGTGAAAGAATTCTGAAAATCAAGGACGTGGACTCCTGAAGATTCAACAGCTAAAACACATTTCGACCGCAACATGCGTAGGCACGCTGCAGGTCTCTAGCAAGAGTGATTTGTTGTGAGAGATGTGGATGAATGGCCACCGAACCAAGATATCAATTTGGAACCAAAGCACGGATCACATGTGCGTTGCTAATCATGCGTATCAATATCAGACCGGCCACAACGGATTTCAACGCTGGCTGTATCATAGCGCTTTTCGTCAATGTCATAATCCCATGTCTTCCTTTGGGGACGAATAAACTCGAGACACGCCGAGACTGTATTTCGCCGAGATCGTCGGCCAAGAAAATGTCGCCAAGGTACACTTCTTCAATGCTCCAATACTCACCAGTTTAGCAAACCCGTACAAAGAAACTGGGAGCTTGCGACGTTCTGGAGGGTGATTGCATTTGCCCAGAAGTGCCCAGCCTCGCCCAGCCGCTTACTCTTCGGCAGTACCCGTCCACGCGTTGACGGGCCTGCTTTTCTTCTGCCGAATATTGGCATCTACTGGTTAAAGCTTGGTTCTCGAATCCTCACCACGTTACACCCACAGGCCTTACTGAAGCTCTTACGCGTAATAAGCAGCTGCCAAGGCCATGTGGTGCTCATCCGGCTGGTGGTGAGCCTCTTGGCTCTCTGAATTAGTGAAGTGACGTTGCTACCACTGTTGGCTAAGATGAGATGGATATCCCGCCTCAACAGATGGTCATCAAGAAGAGCAGAGACGGCAAGAGCGAATGAGCCGGAAATACATTTGACGCACTTCTCACGAAAAGACTCAGAAAATAAGCAATCTCCGCATCTCACTACTGCCTATGCATGCACCGGCTGTGGATGACCTACATGGGAAGATGTAGGTGACCTGCCTTCTTATGAGCTTGGCATCTTTGAGTAGGTATTCAGCAAGCCCAGGCGGTGTACACTACCTAGACGTTTTGGCTTGCAGGCGGATGTGTACCCGGCATAAGCTGTCTAAAAAGAGGCGTGGTGCATATTGATCAGTGACTGTGCGAGTTGATAGATATGATTATGATTACGGGTCTCCGCGAAAGTCACCGGGGAGCGTATCCTAAACATGAAGTGAGTTTCAGAAGCAAATTTTGTAACATCACTCATTAAGATCGAAATACCTGCATCAGTGACAGTGCAATGTATTGCCTACCTAGTACAAGAATTACTACGGGTTCAGATGATCTCCGTCAATATCTTACAGTTGAGTCACGAGTTTGTCCGCGATCCAGAAAACCAAACACTTGTGTCACCATCACTGTAAACAATGACGTTGAGTCTCAGGAAGCATCGGGGGTGAGGCTTATGTCTTGCGGAGAGAAGGATTTAGAAGATCATTTCCTTCTGGCGTTCTGGGCTGCTCTGCTCAGCTCAGCACCAGCCGTGTAATGGGCGCTGATTCGGATCGGACTCCGAGAGGGATCTCTCTCGGGCCTCGAGTAGTCCCGAAGCGAGCGCTCTTCGTCTCAACTTGCTTTCCATGAACCTTTTTCAGCCAGAAAAAAGAATGACAGGGCCATGCTTGCTACACAACGTGATAGCGTTTGCGCGACATGGGCAGACAAACAGTGGCAAGGATCTCGTTTCATCGAGGACGGTTGGTAGGCTTAGATACGCATAGAGACGGCTTATTGCTACATGAATTATCACACAGAGAAAACAAAAGGGTGTACACAGAAAACATGGGGAAGGGTTGGGAAGGGGGGCAAAGTTACTCGGGAACATAACATTTGACATGACCTCGCAGAACCTCGGTACAATACTCAACTTGTTATTGGTGCTACTCTGTGATGGTAAGCAGACAGGCAGGCAGAATAACAGCAGCGCATGCAACCTTCTCGAAACCCACGGACGGGGATTGAATGGAACTTGGTATGCCGTAGGTATGCATGATGCTGCATGCATTTCAGTGCTACAACCGACCTCTCGACATAACACGACACTGCGGTATTACAGGCACAGGAAAGACATGCCTGCATGACCCGTCAGAAAACCCTCCCGCCTTTGAGGCATTTCTTTATCCCGGGGATAGTGATCTATAACGTACCGTCGTATAGGTAGGTTTGCTACCGGTACGGCATACTCCTTGTTGTTTCTATCCAGACATGTGCAAGTCATTTTCCCCCGGTTGAAGTCTGTGTGTCTACGTGCATGCATATCGCATATAAACGATGTGACAAGCATGGGTTCCGCCACCACAGTCCAGCATCCTGCTCCTAACTACCTAGTAAGATACCTAGTTCCTCGTGTGTTCGCCACACAGCTACCTGCCAAATGGTTTGCTTGTTGGTGAACGAATACACATGTAAGACGCGATCAGATAATGTGCTGATGGTGCCTCCAGGGGGGTGGAAAATAACGCAATTCTGGGGTTCCTGACGTTGTACTAGATATTACAGTACATAGACGGAGATAAGGCAGGCAGAGACGACTAAAGGCGAGGCTGATCACCTTCACCGAAGACAATCTGTTCACACACATTGGGAAGATTACCGAGGCTTGATACCTACCTACAGTAGTAGCCTAACCATCAAGGTGCTTATTAATGCCCTGTACGGACCCTATACATGTATGTCCGCGTTTGCATCGAAGATACCTGCCTACTTACCTTGCGTCATAATATATCCCACGTACAAAATCCAGGGTCTTGGCTAGCCAGGGCGTAACGTGCTGTACAACAACACCCTCTATGTAGTTCCCTCTTCGATCTGTACCTTTTGAACCGATCAAAAGAGGAAGAGAAGAATAGGAGAGAAGGGGCGAGACCAGGCTTTCAGCAAAGCTAGCCGCCAGGAAGGAATGAATGTCAGCTTCCAGACTGGGGGCGGTGCGTTGTGTCAGTGAGCGAAACGCAGACAGCTTGGCGCATGCTGGGATCATCGGAGATCCCACGCTGTCGGATAAGAAAAGGCTGAACCCTGGCAAAAATAAATGCCCTTGTCGGTTCGATCACTGCTCTTTCAAGTCCTTGTGTTACGGCTTGTTGCCTACCTAAGTATTGTAGTGGTTGCGGCGGTCAATTTATCTCATCCAATACAACTAGGCTGCATATCGTCATTGCTGAACTATGACATTATTACAGCTCTCAGCATTCGTTCGACGGGTTGTAGTTGCACGACACATAGTTCCATCGCCATGAGCCAATGGCCTTTTTCTGAAAGGGATGATGAGCAGTTGGGCAGAGTGATAGACAAATACCTGAACACCTTTCATTATTCATAGGGAGTTATGATGTAATAGATAGGACGTGCGCTATCTGCCTCGCCTTGCGAAACTGCGATCCCCTGCTCTGCCGCTCCTGGCATGGACATGGATGCGTTACCTACTGCTATGTACTTAAGTGGTGTGTGGCAAGTATAGCACTTTGCGGGGAGAATCTCAGTCAGCCTACTTGATAATACTTTGTACGGAGTATACCGGTATACGGATTTGATATGAGCACAACGTGGTGCAGAACTGTAGCAATGTATACTCAGCGTGCAGGCTCTCTCGTCTGACATACCTGGGCACCCATGGGGATACCAACCATATCCTTCCCTTTTTCCCACACTTCATTGCATCACGTATAGATATCTTAGGAAGCCTTGATAGACTCTCTTTACCCTTCCAGTTTCGCAAACGGGTACTACTTTCGAGGAATACACGCCAAGTAGGTACCAAGTCGGCAAAAAGCACATAAGCGACGCAAGGTGTATAATATTCTGTTCAGATATATAGCCAAGCCAAGAGTCGAATATGCCGCGGCCCGGAGCGCCTTGTCCTTGTGTGGATAAGCCAGTGTTGTCAGGGTCCTATGTAGTGTATTGTACATCTCGCCGGTGTATTGATCATCAAGACTTGGAGGGATTCCCCTTCCTCGCCTCACCATCCACGGTGCTAAAACAGACATAGTTAGCATATCAGTCTAACAGTACTACTTATGTAGTGTTTGAGATGCTCGACAGGATGACGTAGTTCTTGATCCTTATTGCCCTTTTTATCTCGAGTTTCTATTTGCTACCTACCCTTCTGCTACCCTTTAAGTAAGATGGTGTGTGCGTGCATTGTGTAAACGATCTCATCGGGTACACGAAATGCCCGCGATAGTTGTTTCCGTCTTCGCGCTGATCTACGGGCAGAAACACTGAAGCCAATAATAGTGAGTGATTATGCACATATTGCCACCGTCCGTCTGGGTACACAGTTATCAGTTAAGTAAGAGAAAGAGGGAAAAGAGCAGCAGGGACGGCCGCAGATCTCATGTCAAGTGTTGTAAATCCGGCCCCTTGCGGCAAGCCTCCAGCCAGGACTTCCGAGATTAATCCTCAAGTCCCGAGGCGCGGCGTCTTGGTATTTTCTTGGTATTGTAGTGCATCTCGTCCGTTTAGGAAAAGAATTAAAACAAAATTGACCACGTAGACGTAGGGACAGGTATTTACTTACACTGGTACCTACTTAGCACAAGTACATCACACACTACTTTTTTTAGCCTGTTCCAACTTCGGAGATATATCGCATACTTCACTCTTCAATTCTTAGTTGATCATATGCTAAAGTGTTTTTTTCGTTTTTTTTTACCCATTTCCAGCTAAAGCAGAAGTCCCAAGCTTACCGATCGCATTTGCTGCAAGATGAATGGTAGGTAGATTAGGTTGGTAGTGTCGGCTACTGCTGTAGCCTACAGGCCACTCATGTACTGTACCTACCTACTAATTATAGGTAGCGTATCACCACCAGCTACATTTGCGGTAGGGCTTCCTCGGGCTTCCTTCACTCCGTAGCAGTCGAACCTGGATGCTGGAGCCTGATGACGCATGTCGTTCGCTCCAGCGTTTGGTGAGACTGGGATTGGCACTTCTCACACAAACCCTGATCTGATCGAGTTGTCTGTGCGATAGATAAGCCTCTCGCGTATGTTCATCTGCGTATACGCAAACGCCTACATAATACTAGGTAGGAATACGCTGGGTACTTACAGAACAGACACATGTGCACCTTGGCATGTAACATTGCCTAAAGATCTGCCATTATCTCGGCCATGACGGTAGTGAACACATACCAAGCCTCTAGCAACAGCCTTGAAAATCCGGACATTGATTGAATCGACTTTCTATCACCTGTGGCAGTGTACGTAACGGACACATGGAGGGGATATGCAACCCTCTATAATAATTAAAAGAAACAAGGGCATACACATACTAGCCGGCAGGCAAAGAAAACAGTAGGTGAATGAATACCTCCAGCCAGGAAACCAAGCGGGTTCTCTCTTCCTCTCTCTCTTTTCCCGCCTTGTCATTTACATTTCTTAGGGGAAGTATTATCAATCCATTTTCTATCGATCTATCCCGTCCCCCAGCGCTATTTGCCCTGCTTCTCGCATACAGAGTACATTGGCACATGCAGCGGACAACCAAACCGCGCAAAACTAACCCCTGCACGCCCATACTTGCCAGGTATGTAAGTAGGTATGCGTAAGTAGAGATAGAATGCGTGGACCTCTCGAACGCTGAAAAGGCAATAGAAACATTTTGTCTTCAACCCACTCTATTGCCTGATGTGGTCATTCTACGCGGAGGATGTGAGTGGATAAGTTCCTCGCTACCTATTGCATACTTCTGGGGAAAACATTATCTCGACACTAACGCTGTAAGTATGATGATCAAGATACTAACAACACTATCTAGTACTAGAGTACTACTATGGTAGATACCTACATGTAGAAACTAACTACTCTAGGCAGTGTATGGAAGTAAACTCTGTACACATTTCCCAGTTTGCTCGAACAGAGCAAGGATGCCTCTGGATGCGCTCAAGGGGATCCCCGTCTGCCAAGGAAAAGCCAAGTCTCTGGTAGTCGCTTCGCCAAGACTCCCCTGTCTCCTTTCCCCGCCGCAGTGCAACGTACGCACGCGCATCAGTGGAAGGGGGATTTGTGACGAGGAATGGATCTGGTACTCGAGGGCTTCCCTAAGCATGTAAGTACTGGTACGTATGTCTATGTACCTATGGTAATAGCTGGATTGCTTGAGGTTCTTTCGCCTTCGACAATGATCTACCTACGCGTTTCACTGCCCATTCATTTCACAAAATATGGGAAATATTAATAATAGCTCAATTGACGTATCCGTAGGGCGAAACTACGCAATTCCCATCCTTTGTGCGGCCCACTCACCGGGCGGAGTTAGGTACTTACTTACGAGAGGAGGAGCGGGCAGGAGTAGCGGAGAGGGAATATTATGTACATAGGTAGGTACCTAGGTACATAGATACCTTGAGTGGCAGATAAGGCTTTCGCCCCTCTTCTCGAACTGACCCTTCGTTCTTTCTGCGGCACATCTAGCCTGAGACTTCTATCATGTGATGCATCACCGGCGGGTACGTCTGGACCACAGCTGTACAGTTCGTCCGTTTATTTGCAGGGATGTAAATAAATAAAAAAAACACCCTTACCAGCGAACCTATCAGTTCTCAGCCAGACAGCTCGGTGTGGGGGACAAACTCTTAACACCCAAGTTGGCTCTTTCGTTGTACGTGTAACTACATAGTAAGGGAGGAAATGGCAAAGTTCCCGGCCATGCCCCGTGATCATAGGACCATGTAACCATCTTGCAGACGTCGACGCATGCACGAAACAGATACGAAGCGAGATGGCAAGGAATAAAAAAAATTCCAGGGTAAATTGAGTACTATTCTGCATTGAGGGTATTGTTCTTAGTCTGATCATTGTTTTCGGTCTATCTCGTGCGCCCATCCCAAAATCCTATCCCAGTTCCAGTCACCATAGGAAAAACGCCACTACGATAAAAAAAAAAAAAAAACCTATGCCTTTTCTCTTAATCCCCAGGCTATCATCAATAGTCCTGTGGTGCCTTCCTCTAGCAGAGCATGTGAACGCCGTTGTTGAAAAATCATTGCAATCAAAGATGAATCAAATCAGATAACTTCGTAAAGTGTCGCGCCTGCCATTTCCGTCACCTTTTTGTGCGGTTCTGTTTTTTGTGCAAGGGGAAGCGCCGAATGTAGAAAGTGCCGCGTGAAGATCAATTTGGTTGTGAAGCACGCGAGGAAATGAATCAATAGCATTGATGGAGTCATGCAGTCTAAGGTCGCAATTTGTCTCGAAGACTGATGAGTTTACTCGACGGCAACCTCGTGGAAGTCTTCCTTGTGCTCATCAGGGTGCTCGCCGTAGTGGACAGGGCCGAGCTTGAGGACGCGAAGGCTTGGTGCGCTGCCTGCGCTGCTCACACTAGAACTGCGACGCGGGTGCAGGGCGGGTTTGATGTCCTGGGCAGTAGGGTACGAGGCCGAGGTCTCAGGAGCCAGAGAGAGGAAGGTTGAAGGTCGAGGAATGACCTTGTTGACGCTCTTAACAGTCGGAACGGAAGACATTTTGTTTGATAGAGAGGTATGTGTTTAGGTTGTAGGTATGATGGTCACTAATTGCGTGTGCGGGAGTGACAAGGTTGCGATGGCTGCAGTTTAAGATAGAATGACTGGTGAGCGGGAGTACGACTGACTAGCCTTGTGCTAGAGGGGCGGTTTCCTCGGCTTTGTCTGTGAAAAGGTTGAGAGTGACTTGAGTTGGATCAAAGAAAGTTGAAGGGGAAACTAGAACGGACGCAGCTCTTTATACTACTCACTCTGTGGCACTTGGTACGTGATGGGCGATGGAGAGACACGGGCCACCACGGCCACGGCAACCCCCACAAGGGACATCATACCTAACACCGGAGGGTACTTGATAAAACCTTCTGGGATCGTCCATTGTGCCTGCCCATGGTTGTGAGTCGCCAAGACTTACAAATTATGTTGTCCGGTCCGCCACGGTGGTGGATGTAAGTACTGTACGAGTGCCAAGGTTTGTGGGTGTACCGCAAGCTTCGAGGTTTCAGCTAGGTAGCCAAACTACGCAGTTCCCGGGCATTCCACCCCCACAGGCAAGCACAATCATACTTTGGGTGACTCTGCGCGCCTGCAGCAGGACTGGGCAGAAGACTGGGTAGAAGACTGGGGCCTGGGCATCGGTGTTAGCAGAGAAAGCGAAGCGAGTGCTGTGGTACTCGCGAGGGCCTTCTTAGAATGGCATTGGTGAGCACAAGAGCCTGGTACGGGTGGGTGGGAAGAGGATGATGACAGCAGGCGGCTGTTTGCCGTAAGTCGCTGGTCGCTGACCTCCTACACACACCACACACGAGTAAGTAAGTAAGTGTTGGTCACTTCCAGGAGACAAGTGTCCTTGGGTCCTGGGTGCTGAGCGCCAGTCGGGGCCAGGCCAGACGTCCCGCACGTGGGGTGCTGAATGGCTCAATTGGCCATGCACAGAGATAACGCTCGGAGGAGCAAACAGCACAGCGCGAATCTCCAGACGTTCACATGGTGCGTAAAGTTTGACGACCCCCCCCGAACCCCCGGCTGCTCAAGTCTTCCAACCTAGCATCTGCCTGTATCTGCCTGTATCTGCTTTCTCTCGACCGTAATTGGCCCAGCTCAGGCTTGGTACACGGCTAGTCGAGGTAGGAAAGGAGGGAGGGAGGGGGCCCGGCACTGGCAGAGAGAGAGGGGCCTCGGTCGGCTGAAGGGAGCGTGTCATGATGCAGCGGCGCGAGTTGGTCGGAACCCGCCAGCAGAACAGAGCAGAGCCAGCACCCAACGCCCGAGGCGAACTGATGTCGTTGGCTTTTATATGAGAATCCGTGTGGAGAAGAACAATGCGGCTCATTTTAAGCTTTATGACACCTCGCGAAGTCCCGGCTCCAACGAGGCCTCGAAAATGCCCGACAGTGAGCTGTTCCAGGCGCCCCAGCAGACCCCAGCAGGCCCTAGGTGCCCTCGACAAGTGCTGGGCCTCGCTGCCGCGTCTGCCATTGGCTGCGCTGAGGCCCCCAACGAGAATTCCTCGGAGGGGGCCCGCGCCCCTTGTCCCCGCACGCCAGTGCCCTCCCCAGCCACCGTTCGATATGAACATATGCCCATACACAGCACGGAAATATCTGTTTAAAATGATAATAAAAATAAGAACAAGAATAAATGCTGCTATGGTGTATCCAGGTCATACCTATTGATGCATATATCTGATTATGTGCCGAACTTGATGAAGCATGCTCTTCACCAAGTACTGTAGGGTCAGTTGCGAAATCAGATACCTTAGGAGGTCTAAAGAACCTGATATTCATCCCTGATCGATATAATTGCAATTTCTATTGAAACTTCATGACCAGTCATGAACAGGAAAATGAACATCTCCTTTGAATTTGTGACTGGCATAAGTGCAGTTACCTCCCAAGACGACTTAACATAGATCAACATCTTCCAGGAATTGCCTCTACTTAGATACATCAAATACATGATGAAATTTCCTGTCCGAATTTACCTTAATTTGTTGTTATATGTGAGCTTCAGATAAATATACAGAGATGGCGAATCCGAGTACCTAATCCAATATACGCTCTCTATTCTATCCTCATACTCACCAGACTATCTTACTTTAGCACAGGCGACGTAACCCAATACCGATACGACACTCACAAGAGGTAAGAAGTGATAGGAGATAAATAGCCCACGTGTGCAAACGAGTATTGATAACTTCGACTTTTGATCTAGTTGTCAGCTAGCTCTTAGAAGAAAATAGTCTCACATCCACTCACGAAGGACCTACACGCGTCCCTTGCATATCACAATCTCATCAATGTTGAGATATATGAGAATCTATACATCTATAACCTACGCAGAGCGGGAAGCAGTCGATTCGCTTGACTTTATGATACGGACAAAGCAGATCATCTTTGGTATTCGTATTTACGCATGTCATGGCTCGCTCGTTAAACTCTCAGTGTAAGCGTTACATGGACAGGCTTTTGTTCCTAGCAGACTTTGACAGGATTGTCTAGGAAATCCACCAGCGTTCATCAGCAAGCAGGATTATTCCTGTATAGTGCCAAGATGCGATCTACTATTGGCTTTTTTTGCAATGAATCGATATATCCAAATGAGTTACGAGCTTCAGTTCTGCCCAAGGCTCATATATACGCGTTTTGTCTATCCGCTCACCACTCACAAGCCAGATACACGAGTTCAAACATGCTAGTTCATACGTCGTGTACGTCGAATAATCGACTTGGTTCATTGTTCAATCTGGAAGACGTGTAGATTTAAGGACTGCGGGTGACAGCTTAGTGAATTTGTTACACAACTATAACTCTGGCTGCCTGGGATACTCACCTAGCTGGAAGACATGGAGTACATACGATATGTCGAAGATGGGAAGGTCCCAGTCAGTGTTCGAGTTCTCGAGTTCTCGAGCTAGATGACGACCATGCAACTTCTATAGGTGGTATCTCACCGGTTGAACAGTGTTGTGACTCGGAGCATAAGATTCGTCCGGGAGTGCCGGATCTACTCTCAAGGTAACTCGATACATATAAGAGCGATGATATGCCACTGCACTCATATATACGCATATAATTTCACAGGAGTTAGTTGCAATCTCAAAGACATGAGAAGTGGAAATTCAAACAGCATTTAAAGTGATTTGACACAACTCCTTAGATAGCTGCTTGTTACACGTACAACCTCTGTGCCAGCTGAATATGCAGTTCGCCTTGCACTTCGGCCGTAGGGAGGACCATTGCAGGCTGTTCATGATCTTTCAAGACATGCAGGCAATATTGGGCAATATTGGAAAGTGAGGTTATACAGACTTCGCTTCTTGAAACAGACCCCAGAGACCTAGTCGAGTCAAGCCACCAACAGCCAAAAAGGAGTTGGTTAGTCAAGGACTCATGCAGCCCTAGTTGTTCATTATAATCTGAATTCTAAGTTCCAAGCCCAGTATCTCTGCCCTTGTTATACTGCTCGATCTTCGCTAAGGACGATTTTGATGAATAATCTTGAACAGATATATCTCATCAAAGTTCATTGTCTATGCTACACTCTCACGATACAGATTCTAGGCCATCACACTACGACCCCCGGGGGGTGAAGAAAGCACTCTGTCAATAGTAGACCTCTGGTGACCTTAGTAATTACAACCCCTCGTGCAATGACAGGAGATCTTAAAACTCAAATTATCTAGTTCTGAATGTCACTTCTCACCTACGACTGAACACATGTTTTTTGTGAATTGGACAGTGCAACTCTATTTCGTCCTATTCGATGGTTAACCTTCTTCCCGCATTTGATCTTGCTCTCAGTCCGGCTAGAACGGCTACAGCATCATCCCCTCACAGGATCCAATCAAACACGACAACATTAAAGTTGAAACTACTGCTCCCAGATACGAATTTCTGTTATTGCCTGTGTATGGAAATCCTGGGTCTGGAACACCGCAGGATAAGGGTTGGGACATCGGGTGTCATGAAAGGACATATGATCCTGAAGGGAAAAGGCTAACTACTAAGACAAATGAATGTTCAAGGGAGGTAAGAGCGGGCAAAAAGCATGATTCTATGTGCCTCGGGGAAGGTGGACAATTGGAATAGCTTCACTACTGCCTCGGTGCGAGTTTTGCTCAATGGGTTTCTAATATAGAGAAATTCCTAGTTTAAGACGCCCAAATACCCTTTTTAGAGGCTTCGTATATGCCCCGATATTGTAAAGAGATCCCTTTATCGGAATACACACGCGCGTGCACAACCGCCTAGCTTTCTCGGAGTTAATACAAGCACTCGGCATCGGACTCGAGAGGAGAGTGCATGGTCAGCGGGAATGACATAACTATCATGTGTGCATTTTAATTAATTTGCGGGATGTCGTTGTATATTGGGGTATTCACCTCGGGAAGGTGTGATGACTGTGGTATTGCGCTCAATGTTGAGTATACCAATACGTCATTTGACCTCGCAGTATTTAAGAGTCATTCACGCTTTGTGTTCCATGTCCCGTGTTCTCGACTATAGTCCCTGGAGCTACGATGAAAGCCGTTTGCCAATCACGCAAGATCATCGGATATATGGAGTATATTCTATCTCACATACTAGAGGTTTGATACAACTAAGGTAAGCGAAAAAGGGTAGATCGGCATTTTTCTTAACAATCATCTATCAATAAAGCTGGCAGGATAACATCCTTCAATGGGAACTTTGCCTTACAGGTTGAATATATCTCAAAGAGGGTGTGTGGATGATAACCAGGCTTGTGATTTAGTAGCTGACTTGTGAACTCCCAACACTTAACCTAGATCGATGGAACGGAAGGCTCAAAGTTAGTACTTGGAAAGGGTGACATAGACCAATAGCCTAGTCAGGTAGATGTACTATTTACTACGGACATGATACCTAATTCACGAATTCAGGGCATATCTATCAAGTGTGGTGTGACGGACGGACAAGGTCTACTGAAGCCTGTCGGGTAGCTTCCGAAAGAAAGGGGTAGTAATTTGGAGACTACTTCAT